CAGAAATGTGCCTCCCTTAGCTAGCCATGTCGGAATATCCTACGTTCTCTCCCTCTCACCTCTGCTTGGAGAGTAGCTTCAATCTTGACTATACCGGTTGGTGCTTTACAGTACCAACGTTCGTTCAGACAAGAAAAGTCAACTATTGCTGTATATTCTATCAACATCTATGACTAATACTATAATTTTAGGACCTGTACCATTTGAATCCTTAATCTATTACATAGCCCCATTGAACTAGTCTGTCTCTCGTGTTAAAACATCATGATCATCCCACTACTGCCACCCAGTGCGTACATATGTTAATGAGGTAAATATGTTAATGAGCTAGCCACGTGACCAAAACGTCATACCTGCGTAGGTCTACACAGTGAAAACGTTTATTATTTTTTTCAATCTACTTATACGATGATGTACTGAATAAATTATCTTTGCATTGTAATTCCTATGGATCGAAAAACTCATGCAGGGTGAAATTTATCATGCAGGGTGTAAATCATACTATTTCATTTGTTAATAAAATGCAGAAGGATCAATATATGCTTGAACGCTTCCCACACGAGGAAATTATCTTCATTTTCCTCTCATCCCTACAGTTGAGTTGCAACATCAGCTTTGCGCAGAGGCGATAACATAGCCGATGAGGTCTAACCGAGGCGTGTTTATTGCTAGTTGAAAACTTTTCCCAATACCCCGCCTGGAGGACGTGAAATACCGTCCACCATGGCAATTTTTGTGAGCCCCTACGGGGGCACCAATCATGATCAAAGAACAGCACGCACGGTAACACTTATCTGGATTGTTTACACAAGTTCGCAAAAGGAAACGCATTGTTTATGATCCGTATGATTCTTCAACAGAAAATACGGAGAATGACCTGGACCAGATGGTTGTCGGTAACTTGTCACCATGGTAATTGGTGCTGTCGAATGTGGTGTTCGAATACATTATGTACCATCAGAGACGTCCCTAACCGAAGCTAGGAACATAATTATATTCATTTTATCCTAGTTCGATGATATATTTGGAAAAGCCCGGGCCGCCTTTTGTCAACTGGAAAATCTAGTAACATAAACCTATATTGTAACATAAATTTACAAAGCGAGATGAAGCCGAAAAGAATAGAAATTAGACATTTATTTACACTCCTATATGTTCATATGTATGTAATGTATATATGTTTATATTCATGTTCTGTACCCATGCGACCTGTACTAAGTTCTGTAGAACACAAATGTACAATAAAGGTCTTCATTCATTCATAAATTTACAACCACTACCCCAACTTCTTTACGTCCCGCACATTGGTGGCAGTTGTCGTAGATATCGGCAGATGGCGCTGCTACACTGTGTCACAACGTGTCGTTGGCAGTCCACATGATAGGTGGGGCTACTGTCTGTTTCATTACCGTGTAAAACAAATTGAGGGTCAATAGCCCTTATTTGTTCAAGTTCAGTGACCGCTAGCGTTGTTTATTACCTACATTCTTTGATTTCGTCAATAAAGGTTAGACATCTAGGCAATAAGATAACAGGGACACAGTTACTCAAGCAACTGGATAGATTTTGAAATGGGTTGAAATAGATTTGCTGTTTCAAAATCTTTCCAGTTGCTTAAGTAAGCGTTATCTCTGTGTTAAGTGACATTGTTCTTGAATTTCGTTCCAAAAGCTGAGAGGGTCACTGTCAAGTGCTTCCTGAGTGTGGGCACAACCGAACGTCTAAAGCACCGCATGCGCATTGCGAGAAAAATACCACAGACTAGAAAGAAAAAATAACAAGAAAGGTGTTTTGGAAAAGCTAATCGACTTAATGTCTTTCGACCGAACTTCTTTGAATATGCGCAGCAGCGCATGTATATACTTTAATTATAATATTTTTTTGCGAGTATGTTGCTGTCCCATGTTGTATTCCATCCTGTCATAATCATATGACTCAACTAGCACTACCAATATATTGTCAAAGAACAAATAAAATGGTTAACACCCGAACTCTAGACATTAGCAGTAAAACTTTTCTTAGAAAGCACTGTTGTATAGTAGGATCTTACTATTTAGCAAAAGGTCATCACAGATCTTTAATAATCTATTTTCTAATTATCAGTATTAGCGCTTTCAGGTCATCAAGGAGATATACGGAGGTAGAAAAACGTCTCTGTCTCATGTTTGTTTGCATAATTGCCGACCTTATTTGTCACATGTACTGACACGGGATCCACAGTGCACCGACACCGCACGGAGGACAGTCTGTAACCCGCACTCACGACGGCCAACTTTGAGGAGTGCAAAACTTGGTCTCGTAAGTGGTCATTGAGTATCAAAAGTCTTGAGGCTCATGTAAAAGTACAGTCAACAACAATACCCACAAGTGAGCCTTCAATCGCCGGGTATAGGAAACAAATTTAATAAAACTGAAGTGACTGGCGTGTGCCGTCCGACCAAGCGTCCTTTTTCGTGGTCAAACAACGCCCATATTTTTGATTGACACGAGTCGTGGCCCTACATACACTGCTGACCATAACACTAATACTAATACAAACGTAAACATTTTTTTAAACAGAGTTTTTAGTACTTAAAAAGGAGTAGAAGCTGTATCATCTGCTTATACAGGCGTAAAGACGCAATTTTGACAAGTCACTAACTAGTGTAAACCTACCCTAGTTTCTTTGTAGACTGAAGCAAAGTATGTGTATAATCATTAACTAAACATGTGAATATCTGGGCCAATTCATCACATGGGTCGCTTACACAACGGCAACGTGCATATATCGTAAGCGACTTCGACACCTTACACAACCAAGCGTTTTTCGTTGATTTATGCAAATCAGAGGTATAATCATCAACCAAAAGTGTATAAATTGCCCACAAAGTCGTTACACAACACCACTTTGAGCACTTGCAAGCACGAGCGAGCGCCGCGAACGTTTGTTCAAAATGGGGAAATTTCTAGCCGCTGCGTTGTTTCTCTTAGCAGAGTTGTTTTCTGTTAGATGTGTACAGTTTGAACCCAATCTAAACCTGCATGGAACTACACAAGATGCTTGGGTAAGTAGTTAGCATTGAGTTAACAAACAACAAAGGTTTTATTCGGAAGCGTTTACAAAAGCCTTTTGAGTCTTTCAAACAATGCGATTTGTTAAACAATGCTCCCACAAAAATACGACAATGCAGTGCATGTTATTTTTAAGATTATTTTTTTCTCATTTATACGTAATTGAATTAATACGTGCATTGTGCAACGGTTATAAATGTGTCTACTTGTAGTTATGTGGTCCAAGACATGCAGGTGCAAAAATGTAATTACAACGAAGCCCACTGCAAAGGCCCATTCCCACTAGGATAAAATTGTCCGGATCGAGCCGAATTGATTCGCCTTTATCCGGCTCCGACCCTATATTCGCTTTTATCCAGCTTCGAGTCGGATCAAAGCGAATCAATTCGGCTCGATCCGGACAATACAATTCTATCCTAGTGGGAATGGGACCATAGAACAGCCAATACAAGACGGCGCCATTGGTCCATTTTGATACTTACATTAGAAAACTCACATCGTGTTTGGCTATAGTTTGACAAGTTCGTCTTTACAGGTAGATACGTTACTGCCGGATGACTACCGTGGAAAACCTGTTTACCGTGTGGTCTTCGACCTCACCACACCAGAAGGTAAGGAATGATTTGTTGCCTCCGCCAGAAGGTAGCGTTTGTATTTGTGTGTGTATGGGGTTTAGCACGTTAACTCAAGGAGCTTTGGATGGATTGTAATAAAACTTTGTGGATAGGAAGGTCGGATTTTGGACTCCCTGGCGGCTTTTTATGCTACTGCAGCGGAACTTTCTTCCTTCTTTATATCACGTGATATGGACATGCTAAGACTAATTTCTTGTTTTAAAATATATCGCTGTCCGCCCTGCTCAACTAGACAAAATATTCAAAGCGTGGTCATCTTAAAACAAATACACCATAATCTGATCTAGAAAACGTAAGATTTCTCTCCCAAGGACACGTGGTCAATGATTATACGCGTGACCTGGTTAGATAATGTGGCCGTATCAAAGTCTGACGACCATTTTGGTCATTTTTGAAGGCCGGCGCCATTTTGACCTGGGTCCTGGCAAAACAGAAGATTGAGATTCCTATTTATAGTAACATATTTCCTATACTGAATTATGTGTTTTAACACCTTTTACTTCTGTTACTTTTTTTTGTTTACAAGGCGTTGGTGGAAGAAATTAAAGATACAAGACTGTATCAAAATGCGTCTTTATATCTGTGTTGATACATTGTATATAATTGACATATCAAAATGATCTACGAAGTATGTTGACGCTTGCTTAATGCTGTTCTCTAGGAACGACGATTCAGAGCGAAGTCCATCGTCAGTACGACGAGTTCCACACGCTGAACAAGAAGCTGCCGTGGCTTTCGGCGCTTGCGGGGGTGAAGCCACTTCCCACCGCCGAGGCCGCCTCTGTGCCCGACCTGACCCAGTACCTTCAGTCGATCGTCAAGAACAGGGACCTCCGGACGTCTCGACTCATGGACGACTTCCTCGGAATCAACTGGAACTGTTCCGGCGTCGGCTGGTTTAAGGTAATAGGTCTAGAACCCCGCCCACCTACTCCGTGATTTAACTTCTGGTATTACGATATGAGCAGCCGCCAAAGTCAGATTTGAAACAAAAATCTTTTGTTCTCTAATCTACAGGATACAACGTCCTTCATGACGCTTCTGACGGTGACAAGGTTGCCTGACTTCGTCCCGGAGCGCCCCAACATCACCCTTGACAACGTCCTGTCGGACGAATACCCCATGGAGTGCTTCCTCTACATGTCGGCATTCAAACACAACTATCTGGACAAGCAGTCCATTCCGACATTCATGCACCTCTTCGAAAGTTACACCGAGCAGATGCCGAAATTTGAAGGTATGACTCCTTGGTATGATGACTGTAGAATATCTTGTCATTTTACGTGATGTCACATCTGCTGTTCTAATTGGTTAAGTTTGACCAATGGGCATGCGTGTGTAAGCTGTCATCATTTTAGTGCCTCAGTTATACATTTAGTTACATTTTCAAATGCAAATTCAATTGAGAACCACCAGGTTTAATCATCCAACATGGCGGACAATAACTACGTCATAGTCACGTGAGTGCAAGCACCAATCATAACTTCGCCCTGTGTGCTCCACCCATAGCCCTGCCCACGGCCAGAGTACCGCTCAACCAGCCGGACCAGGACGTGTGGCCACCTGGCGTGACGTCACCGATTGAGATGCCCTACCATTACGCCAGAGTTCCTGTTCATTTCCTTCCTGGAGGGTGAGTTAACTAACCATGTTAAAACTTTTAGCCAATCACGATCGTCAGCTGTCTAACCATGTTACATACCGAGTATACTCCATGCTGATTGGTCGGACCTGTTAATTATCTCTATAATTATTAACCAATTAACTCTATAAATTTGCATTTTCGTAGAAAGTCATATACATGTACTTAGAAAATACTAGTACGTTAGAGTAGGCACATTTTAACTTCAAAATCTACAGGCAACGTCCAAGTTTTTCAGGATTGAAATTATCAACAGGTTTGTATACATCTTTTAAACCTTCTCAACCTCAAAACGTTCCATTTCTTTAGATACGTCAACGGTGGCAATGTACGCATCTCGTACAACGGAAGAACGAAGTTTAACTTCTTGAAGGAAGACGTCCTAAGAAGCTGGTACGGCAGACTGGTCGGCCATCTAAAACCGAAGACTATCCTCGATGTCGGCACCGGTAAGATCCGTCAACTTATCAATAACTTGTCAATTAGTGACTCAGTAACTAACTATATATAAGTACAATAATGCTTGTGGTACAATGCTTTCGATGCAGAGCATCATGAAAAAAAATTGGGTGTACTAGTTATATCGAGCGATTTTTCCTAATTTCGAGCTTACGGAAGTATTGTTTTTGGTGGCTGAGCTGTGGGGTTTTGCGACTGTATGGACAGATTAGGTTGGCAGAGCGGAGGCGGGGAAGGTTGGCAAGCAGAATGGTAGAAAGTATGAGGTAATAAAGTCAGACAATGGAAATAGGGTGGATTTGAAAAACCTAAAAACGTCCTGGAAGTCTGAAGCCTCCAATATTTGCCTACACCTTCCTCTCTTTCTTGATAAGAACTTTGGTTCCCGAAGGGATGATAGTGGCAATTATCAATACTAGTAGTTAATCTGCTGACCATGTTGGTTATTTTTTCGTTGTTGCAGGCAACTGTTTCTCTGCCTTCGTGTTCGGGGAGATGTTCCCGCAGAGCGACGTGATCGGGGTGGACCTGGCGGCGCCCTTCATCCGCTTCTGCCGCCTGTGGAAGACTCACAGACCCGCACCGAATGTCAAGTTCTACCAGGTATGCACTGCTACAGTCGTACGCTCCTGTCTTCTTTCCCTTTTTCTTCTTTTCTCCCCTCCTTTCTTCCTGATTTTCTCCCCTCTCCTCTTCCATTATGCACTCCTTCCCGTCCGTTTCATCCATTCTTCTCATACTTTGTTCATTATTTCCCCGTTCCTTTATCCATCCATCCATCCATCCATCCATCCATCCATCCATCCATCCATCCATCCATCCACAGTTATATATATCATCAATGATCACCCTTTTCCCGTCCTGTCTCAACAAAAAAACCAACATACAGTTCATACATTATACTCGTTGATTGTTTAGTAAAATGACATTTTTTTTTCAAGGATAATGGAGAGAAACTTCACTTCCCCGACTCGACGTTCGACGTGGTGAACTTCGCCTACGTTCTGCACGAGATGCCGGCGGAGAACGCCCAGCGCGCGCTGGCCGAGGCGTGGCGCGTCCTCAGGCCCGGCGGGACCCTCAACGTCATCGAGCCGCCGTACTTCGACAACCCCGCCGAGCGCCTGCCGTACGTGGAGTTCAACACGTGGGGACATCACTGGAACACTACGGGAGAGCACGGTCCGGAACCGTACATAGAGGAATTCGAGAACACGTTCCAGTTGCCCAACCATATGGCGAACATGGGCCTCAAAAACATAACACATATTCCCTGCTCTATTTTCGACGCTGTATACATCGCCCAAAAGCCTTAGATTTTATAGCTACAGGACACGGACTTTTAACGTAGTAGAGAACTGTAGACGAATGATGGCGTGGGGTCAAAATGCTGCTAGTGTTTTGTTAGTAAGGAAATTGTACGTGTTATTTGTACATATTTACGCACAAGTTAAGTATACCATTGGATTACCTCAAACTTAACACAATGTTTTACATTGTACATCGCAATATTTATAAAGGCTTGCTAAATTTGATATATTGTATGAAGTAAAAAAGGGAAAGCCATAAGCCGGCCGGGTAACCTAAAATCCAGACTGTTGTCAGGGCCCACACAGGCCAGGACCGGGTCCAACGTATGCCAGAGGGAATTTTGTGCAATCTACTAGTAACATGCCTAAGTCTATGTTCTGAAGAAAGCTCAGGATCATGATCATTGTAAACGTTCGAGCAAAATGAAAAGTCTGGAAAAGACGTTTTTCTAAGTATGTGGTATTGATATTTATTCACATGAAAAAGATGTGTATTTCTATCCAATTAAAGACATCATTTGAGGAAATCTCAAGTTGTAGTGGTGGTAGTTTATTTGTAGTGTACCATTGAAGAGAATGCATTAGCCTATATTGTCGCCAAACTTAAGGTGGCCAAGGACAACTGGTACTCTTCTCGACCAGGATGTAATTTTTCAGAGCGCTAGCATTTGACACGGTCACGAGGAGGCTAGTATGCCATATGGATGCCATATGTAAACGTGTGACTGAAAGACAACGAAATAAAAAGGATACCGCATTCAAAACATGATTTTTCTCTTACTTACTTGCATAATGCCTTGAACTTTAAGACTTTGAGTCCCGATATATGTAACTTGATACCAGAACTAGCGCACTAAATGTTGAGTGTTTCATGATTTTTCCTTGGACTATGGACAGAAGAAAAAAAGTTTACATAACCCAACGTGGACTGACCATTTCAGTTTGCCCAAGAAGGTTCGATACAACCTTTCGTAATGCAGTGATCTTTGCCCTCATTTTACGTAATTTTGTCAAGACTATTTTAGAATGCAATCAAAATAAACTAATACAACGCCTATAATGATACCCCCAGGAAACGGTGCAATAATGAATCGTAACACGAATAAACTGATCCAAGCTACTATAACTGTATTCAAAGTATGTAGCGATAGATAACAATTAAAAAAAAACACGTGCGTGGCATTACGCGTGAGATGCGAATACCTGTAAGTAGGACGAGACCAAAGGTCCTACCAGGCGTTATACAACATAATATGAGTCATATGACCCAGCAAAAGGGCTACAACAATTTATTTTACATCAACCGTAAGCCGCCTTTTATGCGTAACACACCGGTTTCGTACAGTAAGTAGAAAGTGCGTACAGTGTAAGTCCTCGGATAGGATGTTATAAATAAATGGAGATCCCGTGTTTGGGTAGAGTCACACATCCCAGCACGTTAGGGAACCCACTACACTTATCGAAAAGAGCTGGCGTCCTTCCCGTTGTGAGTGGTTCAAAGGCAAACCTTACAGGTGGTCGCACCTGAGTTAATGCCGAATGGCAGCCGCTCCAGACCCTTGCGATCAATCCCCACGCTCCTCACAACTCAGCCCTTGGCCCGGCCCGGCCTAACCACCAAACAACTAGGCATATTGAGTTCGCGCTGCAACATTGTATATACATGTACATGTACATGCCGTCTACTGTACATGTCCCCATCAAAATATATCTCAAGAAATAAACATTTATCTTCCCCAAAGTTCATATTTTGCTGGTGTGTTGTGGTACCTTTCCTCATGCGCATGCGACACTTTCAAGTTGTTTCTTGATTCTATTTAAAGATACTGACAGCATTTACACTTTGCTTCTGCCAACACTAGAAAACTCTTGATAGTGACCTATTTGACACTTCATAAATGAAGTTCATGATCACTAAAAATCATTGACCTTGCAACCTGGTTATGTGTACTGCCCCGTACATGGCGCACTCAACGTGTTGTTGTTCTTCATATCATAGGTACTACCATAGTAGCATTCTTTAGTTGAAATCAAACTGCACAATTACAGCACGGTGTAGCAGTGCCATCTGTCAAAATCTGTTTGAACTGCAGCCGGGCATGTAAACTTCATCTCATTATCATCATGTACCTATAGGACACAATTTGAAAAATCTATTAAACTTGAAAGAGGAATACATCTTAGTCCCAAAACATATAGAACTTATCTGTTAGCAGTAGTCACTAGGGAGGCATCTTTTCCACTAAGAAGGCATCTTTTTGTTGTTATATTTTCCAACACAAATCAAATTGACTTTACTTTTATATGCCAGAGGTTCAAATGAAGGCACATATACATTCTGTATAGCAGTTATTCACTCAGTAAATGCATTGTTACACAAATATTGTAAGAATGAATTTATTTCAAGCAAATGGGGAAAAACCTTGCAAATGACAACATCATTATTCCATGTACGTTCTAACTATAACTGCAATACAAAATAAAAGTCCTCTATCGTACACCTCTATCTCCAAGTATATGATTATCAAAGTTTTTGTTATTGGAGCAAGGAGCACTTTGTGAATACCCAATATTTTGTACCAATTAAAGTACAAATTCAAGTGTATATACATTTTGTATATGTATACAAAAGGAAATTTCAAAGTGTTAAATCTAGTTTTCAAATGCTGATCAACATTTATTGGAAGGACCACTTGGGTGCTCAATGCTATAACAAATTGAGTGCCTGCACTGGAGGGACTGTTCTTTCCCACCACTTAGCTGTCCTGAGTATCATTAGGCAGTGCCTGTATGTGCTGCAGTAGTTGGTCGCAGTACTTGGGGGTCCTGTGTTTATGTTTGACTGCAGTGATTTCTTGCTGCATGAGGGAGGGATGTATTCTTGCAGCCTGTTTCAACACACCTGGGAGAGCATCAGAAATAAAAATGGTTAAGAAGCTCATATGGACAGGTCAAAATTGGGCCTAAATCACAGTTTACAATATTGTACTGTGCAAGCTTATATTAGTTATTTCAAAGCATCGTATGCATTGTAGGGCATGAAATACCACCTGCATATGCAGGTTAGTGCAGGCAAAATTAGAGCTGTGCAGGTATTTCTGATGTCTACCTGCCTGTAACCTGCACTGGTCTGTGTACTGGATGTGTATGTGTCCTTATTTGAATGTGCATTTTAAATGAAGTATAAAAGAAATAATGGCAATGGTTTCTAAATGCTGAGAGATGCAGAAAAAAGTATTTTGAGCCCTGCGAATTGTCATACTATCAAAGCATCATATTCAATTTATCAATAAAAGTTAGATAACACTTTACCATAAAGTTGTTAAGTAGCTTACCCAACATGTTCTCTTGTATTCTTTCATCTGTATCATCCAAATGGACCAGCAGCCCCTTGAACATGAACTCTAGATGTGCTTTGTACAGCGTCCTGTCGTAGTCGTCACCGATGCACGGGAAAAACGTGGAGAACGTCTTTGCCACGGCCACGCGAATCTCATCGCTGTTGTCATCCAGTCGTTTGAGAAGCTCTGGATACACCTTGAATAAAACATTGAACAGATGTATCCTACAGGTAAAATATTTACCTTTTCTGCACTGCCATTAGCAATGTCAATCCCACGTTCCATGCTGTAAAACACAGACTAGAAAAAAGCTTAAGCTAGCGAGATTCCATTTTGATTCACCCATCTCTGTACTGTAAATCTGTAGTTTAAGTTTTGTAACCACCTGTTGTTGTACATCTGTAGGTTAAGTTTTGTATTACTTATCATTAAGTTTTGTAAGTATTAATGGTGCTAAGATGTATTGTTTCTTATGTTGTTGTGGGAATGAAGTTACTGACAAAAACTATAGGTAACATTTACAAAATTGCAACATGATGTAACCCAACACTAGTTACCACAGTGAGGGACGGTCTGGTTTAGGTCATTGACCAGGTCAGAGGCCAGTTTTTGCTGAAAAAGAAGAAGAAGAAACATAGCAAAAACATTATGTTTTCCTTCGGTAAACATAAAAACCCCACCTTGTTGAGTCTGTCAGGGTGGAAGGTTGTGCCGCAGAGGTTGAGCAGGTGGTTGAGCACGCGGCAGGTGATGAGTCGTGTGGACTGGACGTCGTCATCCAGTAGTGTGACCAGCTGGGTCAGCATGTCATCTATGATGGTGTTCGCCTTTCAAGTACAGATGAATGGAATTTAGTCATTAAATCTGACAATGATCATAACAATTGATTATGCAACAATTTATAACAAATCATTACAACAAAAAAAATCCTTGACTGCATTTGCCTTAAAAAAAAAAAAACAGATGAAATTTACTCATTAAAACATGCATAGGTTATGCTAGTACATGATGTACTCCATCTACGTTCTTGTTTCTGTAGTCATAGTTTTTAAAATAGACTAGTATCACTGTTTTGATTGCTTTGTCATTGCTGCCATACATTGTACTTTGTGCATTCTGTGACCTCTCCACCAAAAATTCATGACAACATTTTCAGTGCAATTCTCATGTACTAACAGTACTACAGAATGTTGTGTCAACCAAAGTTAAATCCCTGCAAAAATAAGAGACTTGACCGTACCTGTTGTACAGACAGCAGTCCGCTCTTCAGCAGTGCCCACAGACTGGACACAGCGATGGTACGGATGGCGCCGGCTGTCCTCCCCGCCTGCCACACACAGTTCACCAGGATCATCCTCTGTACCACGCCCAGGGCAAACTCTCCAAATTGTCCTGACGCGTTTACCGTCTTCTCTGTAATAGTCCAGAAATGTGCTCAGAAATCCTACTAAGAATATTTTCCTTTCAACTGTTTAGGGGTCTTGCGACATTGTACTGGAACTGTGAATGATATTGTATGTAATTCAATCACTGGTGTTACACCACTTCCTGAATTCCTCCTCATGCTGCCCACTTACTAGTAGCACCCACTCAGCATATGCTTAACTTTCACATCAATCAACTGTCAAAACCACCTCCCACCCTCCATGCAACTAAAATATGAAACACGCAAACTCACAAGTCAGCCACCCAAAGCAATACTTCTTGGAAATAACAACCTCTTGTGTATTGTAACAGATACCTGCATTGATGAGTAGTTTAGACAAGAGTGTGAAGAACTTGAGCCGTAGTTCGTGGTCCTTGTCTGGATGGACGTTGGTCTCCATGATAGGAACTATCTCTGGAAGAAGGTCTCCAACAACTGGACCTAAAATTAAGTAAAAAAACAAGACAAAAAATTCAAAGGCATATTTTCAGGCACAAATCATTTTGTTAAAATTCAATTATGTGATGTTTTCAAAGTACATGTACACAGGTTTTAAACTGAGTTAGAAATACACTCACCTGCTTGTAATAATAGAGTGTCAAAGATGATCCGTTCTGGTGACAGTGTGGTCCAGTGTGCGTGTGAGGGTTGCAGCATCTGGAGCACCTGCTGTGTGTGACTGGTGTACAGCTGCTGCACACCTGACAGCGCCTGGACATCTGCAAGCTGCTGCAGGGTGGTCTGGACCTTAGGAAAGTCATGGCATTATTACTTTTATCTCTTCATAACAATCATTTTCATTCCAATTCACCTCTTTCACGAGGGTCAACAATTTGAAATCAAAAGAGATAAATTATTTCCTAAAGTTTCAGTTAGCTTTTCAATGCGTATGTTGAATGCTGTGAAATACAGGGAATACCTGTTCCATGACTGCACCATCCCTACAGAGAGCCATGGTGCTGACCAGCACAGTGAACAGCTGCAGGCTGTACGGTGCTGTCTCCTGCTGACTGACAGTCAGGATGGCCTGTACACAGGACAGCAGCTGGTGCTGATACTGGGGCTGTGAAAACAAGGATGGTTCTTTAGTAACAGCTATGGTGCTGTCCAGTGATGAACAGCTACAAACTGTACAGTGCTAGACAGCCAGGATTGCTTGTCTAAAGGGTAGCTAGGTCATCAAAGTGTTGTTCCCACTGAAAATCTTCCTGTCCAAATCTATTTTATGAATTTCATAGTTCTACTCCAATACTTAATAAAACCACCACAAATTAAGGTAATACATCAAAATATGTAATATTACATGTACTATCTGCATAGCCGGGATAACTGCCCTTTGGTGTAACACACCAACATGGCGGCAGCTGGTTATCTTACTCTGAATGACCTGTTACACCTAATCCTAAGTGCACATTTAACTGTAAACATTGCCCACAGATAGTTACTGCACTAAAACTAAGTACACTAGCTTGAGGTACTTACTTCTTCTGCTCTGCAGACATCAGGCAGTGCCAGGGTGTGACACACGGCCTGTAGGTGTGTCCTGATGTGCTCCTGACGACAGTCCCTGACGATGGCTGCCAGCACCATGAGAATGTTAGCACCCGGCTGTCTCTCCAGGGCAGGCAGGATCAGCTGACAGTAGATCTCTGGCTCCACAAAACACCCCACCAGTTCTGCTGACTTGATAACCTGCAAGAGGAAGAATGTATAGTGTAACTCAATTACGAAAATATGCAACTTGATTGGCTAATCACAGATTGTATACAGAATTCTAGACTCTGATTGGTGGATTATCAAAATGATGGCATCTGATTGGTGAACTGCAGCTCACACAATCTGATTGGTTATGGTCACACTTGACCATCATAGCTTTATACATACAAAATGCTGAGATCTGATTGGTGAATTTGAGATCAAACATTTAATAATAATTTTAAGCTATATGTTTCTAGTGATGATGCTCTCATTGTGCATGGTGGCAGAGAGTTGTATGTAGTCTTACTTTGGGAATATTTTCTTTTCAGGATAGTCGAGCAAATTACATGAAAGCTAGCCTGAGTGTCAGCCTTGTTAGCTTTCGTCCGCTACCCAAGGTCCGCTCCCCGCTCCCCCCATTGTTGGCGGGGAGCGGACCTTGGGTAGCGGACGAAAGCTAACAAGGCTGACACTCAGGCTACATGAAAGCAAGACCTAGACTTAAAGTGTAAGTGGCACATACATGCAGGGTGTAACCAACCTTATTCCTGACTTGTTTTTCCTCATCAGCACAAGCCTTATACAGCCCAGCCAGTAGCGGCTCCATGTGCATGGTGGTGTAGTCCTCAGAGTTGAGCAGGAGTGTGTACAGGAGGGAGGCCGCCTTCACCCTGGTGCTGACCACCCAGTCTCCCAGCTCGCGCAGGCATGCGGGCAGGATCTTGGACAGGTTACGGAAGATCAGCGTTCTGCAGCCCAGGTTTGGTCTCTCTTCTAAAGAACAAACAACAAGAGAATTATGAAATCAGTGAATTTCTTGGCACAACCATAGAAATGGTCTTGGAGGCTGAAAGCTTGTACATATATGATCAGTCTCTTGCCAAGAGCAGCATCTAACTCACCTCCTTCAGGAAAGTGGGCTATTTTAGAGTAGGTAAAGTCTATCTTGTCCTTCAGTTCATCTTCATTCTCCTGTTGGTACTTATTTCCCACCTCCCTCCATAGCTGCATGGCACGGTCTGTAATCTCTGGGACATCATCTGTACAAAGAAAGAAGGGAGGAAGAGATGAATGAGTAGATGAAAAAAAATCAGCAGATAAAGAAAGAAGTGCATGCAAAATGTATGTAAAATCTACTCTATTGAGTTAACAATTAAGAGAAGGCTTTCATTTTGTGATCATTGCAGCTCTGCTATTAGATGACAGGGGGCGTTCTTGAGTGGTTACTAAACAGCATGATGACTTTGACATTTTAACTAATTTAAGTATTCCACAACATGAGTTGGGTAAACTTGAGAGTAGGTTGACAGCACGTGGGTGGGGTAAGATTGACAGGCAGAATGACAGGAGGTCAAAAGGCCAGATACAGAAAATAGGGTAAGGATTGAAGAAACTCAAAATGCTTCCTAGATTTCTAAAGTCTATGATTTCTTGTTAGTTCTTTGTTTCTCCTCACCACTGACTGAACTCAGTAAGAGTGGGATGAGTTTGTGGTGGAAGGAGTATCTGTCTGGCAGGTCCAGCAACCAGCCACCTGACAGCTCTGTCACCGCCATCCGCACGCTCGCTGAGTCATCAAACAGTCGCTGGGCCAGGTGAGACACCACGTCTTCTACATTCTTGTTGTTCCCATGCTGTCAATAAAAAACAATGTGTGTCAAAGTCAAAGAAAACATGTACTAGGAGACTTGTCTTTTTGTAATCATTACCTCTCTGAAATTTTTGGAGGAACAGCATCAATATATTTCTAGAATGTTGTGAAAATAAGAAAAAAGAAAAGCACACAAATTATCTAATAGACTAATGCCTAAACAAGGTCTAGAGCTAAGTATTTTTAATTCATAGCAGCCACATGGTAAGTGGGCTTGAAATACTACTACTTAGTACAACTACAGGTTAGTGCAGATGAAGTTAGACTTTTTAGAGCTGTGCAGGTATCTCTTGTGTTAAATTGATTTTTTTTGCAGTGTCCGGCTTACAGCTTGCATTAGATAAAAAATGGTACTGGTACTGCACATTGTAAGATACTAGTACACATCATACCTGTATACATGTGTGGATAGCCTTGATGGCGGCGACCCTGACTTTAGAGTGCTGGTGTGAGATCGTCACGAGCAGAGGTTTCACCAGCGACTCCGACTGCATGTGGAAGTGCTGCGGAATCTTCACCGCAACCTTCGCTGCGCACCGACAGCTCTCCTTCTTCACGTCCGGGAAAGGGTCCACGATCGTACGCTGTAGGATCTTCACCAAATCATCAAGATACACTGCCAGCTCCTGCCCCGTGAGGTCAATGATTCGCGTCAGGGTCTCCACGAGCATGAGCCGGAGCTCCTCGGACGGCTCGGTGATGTCCTTCTGTCCCAGACGCTGCACCAGGGTGGGGAGGATGTAGGGCAGGGTTTCTGGGGGGTCGGGAACGGTGGAGAGGAAAGCGTCCACCAGCTGGATGGCCAGTTCTCGACATTTCTCCACAGGATCAGAGAAACTCTTTAAAACCTGGGGGTAAACAGATTGAGAGGTATATTTATATGTATTATGTTGACTTTGTTGGCGTTCATCTGGCAGAACATACTGGAACTGCACTGCAAAGACAGACAGACACACAATGTACAACACTAACAGTAACAGCTATTTTTTTGTTCAGACTCTGCTACATTTGTACTAACAGTTTTTAGACAACGGAAACAACTTTGAAAGGTTTTGTGTTAAAATATGAAAGTCAGGCAGTGTAACCCTTTCATGAAGTTATCACATACATTGGTAGATAATATAGGTGCATGCAGTTACTGTGAAATACTCATTCGCCACACAGGTGTTTGCAAGCAAACAGGTAATACAGATATGTTGTAACAAGTGGGGAGGGGGGCACTACACAACATACCGGTTTCAGAATTTCAACGAAGACTCCCTGCAGCACCGCGGGCTCCAGCTTCTTGTCGACGGTCTCCTTCCGCAGGGAGTCCAGCGCTCTCCGCCTGGTGGTGCGGTTATCGTCGGTGAGACAGTTCACGTGCCGCTGGAGGCCGAGATTCTGCACTAGACTCGTTTGAATCGCCTCTTCCGACGCCATCTTGTTGGTAGCGACGCCTCGCTTTCGAGCAAATTCTACTCTCGTCTCCAGGATAGTTCACAGGTTTAAAGAAAGTTTTGAAAAAAAATGATATCAAGGGAATAAAAATGTAATAAAGAGACAGAAAATTGAAAAACATGATTTTTTTTCTTCAAAATTTCAATGAATTTTTAGAAGAATCACAAATGTCAAAGTAGGTAGTGCTGGGAACGAGAGTGTTATATGACCCCAGGTCACTTGGAGAGGTGCACACACGTGCATATGGCGGGAGTGAAATTCTGTCATAACTTATATGCAGTTTTTGGAGTAACGTCGCCGCTTGAAAAGCGTCAGGATGGCAGAATTTGTGCAGCAGAACATCGAGAAGATGCTGCCGGAGCTGGAGCAGCTAGAACGGGTCGGCGTCTTCGACAAACACGAGATTAAGTAGGTTATATATATTATCAGGTTGTATGCATGTGGTTGGTTTTTTTTTGGGGGGAGGGGGGATACACATTTTTCATAAGATTTATTATGAGGAGGTAGATAAACTTTTTGAACATGACACATCTCCAAAGTGTCACACACACATGTAATTTGATGCAAGGAAAGAAAAAAAAGCAAAGAAAATATGTGTACTTCATGAAAAAATATGATTGAAAGGAACAGAATCAGAAACTTTCTTATTCCACCTCCCCAGAGTTATCATCAAGAAGAGAACAGACCACGAGTACAGACTGGTGAGGAGAACCAAGAAGAAGGAAGACTTTCTGCGCTACATCCAGTATGAGATCAACACCCTGTCTCTTATACACCATAGACGGGAGGTAAGAACTAGTAAACAGGGTTAGATGTTACATCCAGTATGAGATCAACACTTATACATCAATAGACGGGAGGTAAGAACTACATAAACAGGGTTAGATGTTACATCCAATATGAGATAAACGCTCTGTCTCTTATACATCATAGACGGGAGGTAAGAACAACATAGACAGGGTTACTAGTAGATGTTACATGTACTTACACCACATCCTGAATTCCTCCTCATACTACCCACTTAAGTTATGTTTGGTGTGTGCTGGGTCTTTTTTTACCTCCCTGAAGCTACCAATCAACCGACAGTAAAAGAACACCCTACATGGCTAAATAATTTTACAAATGTAAAACTATTTTTACACTAATTTCAGAAACTGGGCTATTTCTTCAAGAAGGAGGAGATAGAATATGCCATTGTTGGAAGGATCCACTATCTGTTCAAGGTGAGTTCTCTCTTTAATTTAAAATTTCTTGTTACTTTATCAAATCAATTCAAACACTCCTGTCACTGTATCAACCATTGGTCATTATTGTACGAAATGATTTGTAGTTTTTAGCTAGTTGTTATCATGCTTTCTTTTTGTGTCTTAAATAATGAAAATAAACATTCTTATTGGTTTGTTTCAGAGAGCGATCAGGAAATGGCCGGTAAGTTCTTTACTTTACTTAGATTTTTTTTTTTGCTTTTTTGGTCCTTCATGCTGTTACTGTTGGTATCTTTATTGACATGAATGTCATTTTGCATGTTTATCTTTTTTAGGAAGACTTGAAGATGTGGATGTCACATATTGAGTTCTGCAAGAAATGGGTAAGTTTGTTTTCTGAATAAAAAGACTAATTTTCCTTTATGAAACAGCATTAGAGTTGGTCACAAAAAAGTTCACCAATAATGCCCCATTTTTGTCAAAATGATTCTTTTGATGAAAATTCTTTTATCCGTTTTTCTCTTAGAACAAGAGGATCCAGCTGTCCAAGATGTTTGCCAGCCTGCTGTCTATGCACACTAATAAACCAGGTGATTTTCCATTGGTTTAATCTTCACCCAGGAGACTGCCCTGATTGGCTAGTACAACTAACCTAATTATTTTCTAAGGTTGATATCCCTCATCAATCACATTGTGTATTAGAGTCAGTGATTGGTTGGAGCCCATATATTGGACTTCAGTGTTATCTAAAATTACTGACTCAGAGGTAATAAATATAGTGTTATATATGCACAAATTATATGGTCAAAATGTCAGACACAGCAAATTTTGTGAACTCCACAGTCACAAAAACCTTGAAATACATATACCTCCAATTCCAAGGAGTCTGAAATGTCTAATTCCTTGTGTTAGGTTTGTGGATCATGGCTGCCAAATGGGAACTAGAGGAGAACCAATCAGCTGACAATGCCCGCAGTCTGCTACAGAGAGCACTCCGCACTCACCCTGAGTCTAAACAACTCTGGCTGGAGGTTAGTCATATAACACTACAGTGAGTTAAAACTTTTGATCCAACACAAAGAAGTTCTCTCACCTAGAACTTTTGCCCAGTCACTCAGGTCTTCCTCAGTCACATGTCAGTAGACTGAGTACTAGACAGAAATTCTTTGCTCTAATCTGTCTTTTTCGTAAGTAACATTAAATTCTTATCTTTTTTACCCTCAGTATTTCCGAATGGAACTCCTTCACACAGAAAAGGTAAGACTATCATGTCTTTAGATGAATATTTTAATTTGAAACAAGATATTGTCAGTCCCCAGAGTGGTTTTCTTTACTAGTTACGAGTGTATAATTATTTGAAAATATTTAATGCTGTTATGCATATTGCAGGTCAGAATCAGATGGAATATCATCAGCAGTGAGTTCTCCAGGCCAGAGGTTTGTTAAGTTTTCTGTTGTATTGTCTTGTTTCTAGATCTGTGGAACTTTTTTGTCCTTTAGGGGAGGGATACGTTTGAAAGGTAGACATAAAGTTTACAATGAAGAATAAGAAATTCTTGTAGCAATAAGTGTGTCAAATGTGATATATCTTTTTTGGTTCAAATGTCTTGATGTATCTAATTTATATCTAACTTGTTTTCAGGGTTCAGAAGACATCCCTGATGCCTTGTTCCAAGGAAAGGCAGCTATTATAGTCTACACAAAGGCCACTGAAGCTATAGCAGGTTAGTAATACACTTGTAATGTATTCAACACTAAGTCTTGTATCATATTGCATTGTATTGCAAGAAATGTTTGCCTTAAGTTTGTAAAACTTATCCACATATAAAAAAAGTTCAAATAAGGCAGTTCGTATGAAGTGAAACAGCTAAGGATTTTCCATCACATATAATTTTACATTCCTTCAAGTCATATTGAGTAAAATGCAGCTGCAGTTCTTTCAAAGATGCTAGGAGGTGCTTAAGATTTGTCTGTGGTTTGTTTTATAATACATGCAATAATGATGTATTTCAATTCATCAAATAAATGGTACACAATTTATCAAATAAATGGTAACAAATTTCTATTTCAGATGACATAGAATTCATCCTGTCCTTCATTCCTGTCTGTCAGAAGTTTGACTTCACCAGTGAGCACCAAGATCTCATCTATAACGAGTAAGGAAATTTACTTAGATGTTTACAGCTACTGTCTCATAGAACTTTTAATATCGCTTTTTAAAGTTTTATAAGAAGAAATTGAAGATTTTACACTTCAATTTGTGAAGTATTTAGGGCTTTCATGATATTCAGGTTCACCTCATTTCCTGTGTCTGACCTTTTGATCTACCGGTATCATTCTTCCTGTCAATTTTCCTCCCACCCATGTGCTGTCAACTTGCTCTGTCCACGACAAGACAAATACTTAACCCAGAAACCAGCCACCCAAAACAATACTTGTGTACCTCAGGCAGTGACAGTTTAAGTTCAGTAGAGACAATTCATCCCAGCAAGAAATGTTCATTTGTTTATTGTTTATTGCTGGTCTTCTGTGCTGTTGTCACAGTTTACAGGAAAGGTTTGCTGACCATGAGTTGACGTGGAATGCCATAGCCCAGCGGGAGATGCAGGGAGAAACAACTGCCATTGAGGAGGCACAGAAGAGAGGGCTGAACCATGGTGGGATACATGTGTTGTTCTGTATGGGTGAAGAACTACATGCTATTTGTATCTGATTATCATAGGTTCTCCTATTATCTAAATTCTGAACTAGAAAATCTTTGTGAAATGGAGCCTTCGTCTTTGATCAAATTTAATAGCCACTGCAAAAAATTGCTGTGACTGAAGACAAGTTTCTTTTATTTTATACAAGAATTGTATAGATACGATTATGTACTTAAAGGAATGAAATGATTTTTTTTATGGTGGAATTTTTTCCAGAGCTTGCTGTACTGAACTTGATTGACAAGGCTTGCCAAGTCTATGACAAAGCTGTACAAAAAGTCAACACAGGTACATGACTACTCTTATGGCTAATTCAGAATCTGTAAATGTGACTATTGCAGCTACATCATCTACACATACTTACTAGTTGTAAGCCTTACTAGCTTGTCTGTAGTTAAATACATGTATATATTAGAATTTCTGATATGAAACAACTGTTGTTATAGTAATACTAGTGGTTAATTGTGGTTTGTGTGGAATTTTTGATTTTATTCTCTTTTGTTCAATTTTGCAGTAAAAATGTGGTCTCTGTACTGTGACTTTCTGACTGAGAAATTACAAGAAACAGCCTCAGAATCATTCATGGACCAGGTTGGTACAGTACAGTATTTGTGGCAGAAGCATGAATATAATGATTACATTCTATACATATTCAGATTAGGTTTTCTAATATTAGAGTCAAAGTCAATTGTAACCAATAAAGTCACCATACACATTCTACTTTTTCTTTTGGTCTAGAAAAGGACAAGCTAGTTTAGATAATAGTTTGCTCCAAACTACAGGTTAAAACTCTGGATGCAACTTTTTTTTTTCAAATTCTCCTTAGGTATCCAGTAGACTGCTCAACAACCTATCAGCAGCTCAAGAAGAAGACAACATGTCAGAACAAATGTATGGTACATGGGTACGTAGCACTGATTCTTTAAAGTTTCATACTATCAAGCTCATTGCTAGTCACTTTATACCTGTTGTTTTACAGTATCTTTTTTCCAATACTGTAATTCACTTTGTCTTCATGTTAGCAAAATTCAGGAAAAATGTTCATGGAACTAAATCTTCAGGGTGACAACAGAAGGGGGGGTGAATGACGAATGATTTGATAACGGTAATGATAAGTTCACAGTACAGAAATGACAGAGAAACCCTAAACATAAAAACTATGAAAAAAAAAGGAATTATAGTTGTAAGAAAAGTGACACCAACTGGTGATAGGTACATGTAAATGTCAATCACAGTTGAAAATACTTACTTTCTACATGTATATCTAGGTTGATTTACTGGAACAGTTAGGGAAGTTAGAGGAGGCTACAGAAGTGTCAGCCTCAGCTACAGACAAGTACACCCAGTCCTCAGACCTGTGGGTACAGAGACTCAAACTACTGGCAGCCGGGGGAGCCAATCAGATCAACCCTGTGTTCCACAAGGCCATTGCCAAGGTCAAAAGCAAAGTAAGTCTCTCAGTAAGACGTATGGCCAAACAGACCATAGTTGTACCAGGATTTGGTAGTGAGTTTTTGTGTATGATAAGTTAACTCAAATCTAAAACAGTCATGAATTTCGTTGTTTTTTTGGTTAGTTAAGAAGAAAATGATGTTTTTGTATTGATCTTTTAACTGAAAATGCTACGTAACACCATTTGGTACTAACTAGTTAAAATCTTTTGAATTTTTTGAGATTTCAAAAGTTCTTTTGTTTTGTTTTTACAGGATTCGATTTCCCTCTGGACCTTCAGGATAGAATGGGCCATCAGTAACAGAGAGGAACAGGTGGAGGATCTGTTTCAGGTAATAATCACTGCAAGGTACAGTTCTGAAGTATTTGGGGTTGGTTTGTAGGTTTATGTGAATGTATGTTTGTTTGGACAGAGTGGGTTGATAGCACTGGCTGAGAAGGAAGATTGGCAGGCAGAATGATGGGGTCAGAAGATCAGACACTGGAAATGGCTCTCGGGGAGCCAGTAGGAATTAGAGGTTGACATGGGGGAATTCAGGAACCTGAGGATAGCATTGATTTACATTTTTTTCATTAGAAGTATGAAAAATGTATATTGCATTCTTTATTGTCCCACAGAAAGCCATTCTGAGTGTGAAGACATGGTCCACCCCCATACAGGAATGGTACGTCCAGTGGGCTGTGGTGAGTGGGGGCATCAAGAAGACAAGGGCTGCCTACAAATGGTTTGTTACTAACTGATGTTTCAAAATTAATTCTCCAAATTTGTCTACTTGAATTAAGTTCATAACATAATTCTGTAATGTCTCCTGTAACTGTTTGATGTTTTATGATAAAAATATGATAATAATAAGTAGAACTTACCTATTTACCAGAGTTTGTGATACACAATGTGCTACTGTAACAAAATACATTTTAATTGTAAATGTGTCTTCTCATCTAGTTTACTCTTTGGATTTACAGATATGTACTTGTAGGATCAGGAATATGGTTTGTAAAACAGATTTAAATGTTACAGCAATGTTATGCTAAATGTCTAATTTTTTGTGTATATGTATTCTGTGTGTTACAGGCTGACAGAGACCAAGTTTGTTCCTCTTCCAGTCTTCAGGAAGTACATTGAATTGGAAAGTGGGCAGGTAAGCATTGGCTTAATGTACATGTCGGTGATTGTAAACTGCTGGAGGCATGCATGAGAAAAACTCATCTACAACATATTGTTGTACAACTTTAAGAATATTTTCAAGGAAGCTACATTCAATTTGAATGGATATTCTCTCAAGAAGAAATGCGGGTGTAACAAGTTCTATTGCAAGGCTAGATTTCGGATTCCTTGTAGAAAGCAACATGATATATTTGACACATTTTGAATAGCATAAGCTGTTTTCTTTTGTTCATTGTCCAGCTCAAGCCTAAGATGAAGCTCATTAGAAACTGCTATGAAGCTGCACTGAGAGAATATGGAGATGCTGAACCGGGTAATCTTTGTACAATTTGTCTAGTGTTTCTAAAGGAGCTTCAATATATATGTCAGGGTAGAGGCACCGATCTGGTAGTACCAGTAGAGATCCCGATCAGAATTTTCTGTTGACAAAGACTCCAATCTCTACTGGTAGAGTTGACGAAATCTGAGTCTCTACCCTAAACTATCATGATTAAGTGGATCCTGGAAAATACGTTAACTGGATTTAACCATTTGATATACATTTGTACATGTACACTTATTACAGCTTTACACTGAGATGATTTAGCTTTGACATTAATGGAAAGAAAATGCAGTTTGCAAAAGGACAAGCGTAAGGTTGCACCTCCTAGCAGCTCAGTTGTAAACTGCAGACAAGTCATTTGGGGATACTGTTTACTTGAATTTCAGACCTGTGGCTGGACCTTATAAAGCTGGAGAGGACCCACCCTGAAGGGAAACCAGAGAATGCGGGCCATCTGTACTGGAGAGCTGTGAAAACTCTCAGTGGAGAACAGAACCAGTACTTCATTAGTAGGTATGCACTGGTGCAGACTGGTCATTTGGAGCAATAGGGAAGTAGCAAGGTAGCAACAGCAACATACATGTACATTTAAATGCCACAACTGGTGTGGATGTAATATCACTTGCTGGTTGTGATTATCATAAAATTCATAATAGGATGTCATGCTGATAGACTTTTTTGTTATGAAGAATGTCAAAAAGATTGGAGAGCATCCTATCTTGTAAATTCATTGGCACAGCGGTAAATGATAACCATACATGTATACTTTCAGAGAATTGAATGTTTACTGACTGATGAAGCATAATTTTGACACACATTACTGGTAAGGGTACAATTTCTATCTTTTGGGTTTGTTCAAGTTCAAGTTTTCTTTCCTGTTTTGTTAAGCAGTGTATCTGATCTGAGTTCTACAAATGGTAAATGGTATTGATACAGTCTAGTAATATATCTTAAGGCAGAGATTTATGAAATTTCACCGATTCTGCCAAATCAAAGTATACATGTATCTGTTGAACAGGATGCTTTCTTTTTTGTTACATACATTTATGTGGGCCATGTTAAGACATTCAGATCAAGGTCAATTTATTGTCTTGTATGGGAGAAGTGTCATGTATACCTGTGATTGTTGATAGTGTGCTCCTGAAATTCAAATAATTTGACAACACAGGATCCAGTAGATCAATAAAACTATGTAATTACCAAGATGCATATCAAATAATGATTGACACCCCCCCTTTCCCTCCAAAAGAAAGAAATGGAACAAGCAATTAGCAAATAATCTCTGGTTTATTTCATATCAAAATAAAACATGTAGAGAATATATACATTGTACTTTGTTAAAAGTCATGTTTCAAAGTAGAACATTCTTGACCTGCAACAATTTCACGCCATATCAAAGCTAGTCAACAATTTAAAAAATACCCTAAGGCTTGCATGTGTCCACTATTTCATAGCACAAAATACCGTTATTCTGTCATATCTGACTACGTCTGGTTCCCTTGTACAGGGATATCTTTGTTAGGATGAAAATAGCTGCATTTAAGAATGGAAAATCGTCCTGGGCAGATTGACATGGGCAGATGGCACTGAACAGAATATTAACTGTCTGAGGAACCAAGCTACATGTACAATGTATACAAATGCATTTATTTACATTTTGTTTGCACCAACTACAAGTAGTTTGCACCAAATAATAGAAGCTGAGGTATATATTAATTGATTAGTATAACTGCTCCTGGCTAGATGTCTCCATGATTAGTGAAGATGAGAAGTTGGTTGCCATAAAAAATTACAATGCAACGAAAATGCTTTATGCTTGGAAAGTCATTTAGGACGATAAGCAGACATACGTTTTGTACCAAGGACCTGCATTCGAAAGACATCATCAGGATAAAGTTAACACTTTTGTTCCTAGCTTAATCATTTCTGTGCGCATTTGCTACCAACTAGCAGTAAAATCTGTCAGAACTTTGATGATAATTTCTCCTATTTTTTAATGCAGCAATTGACTGAAGATTGAGTAAACATTCTGAAATAGAGAATTGTTTCACTGCCTATTTTGACAAAATAATGATAGTAACTTTAAGGCCACTTACAATAATTTCAGTTTAGGCATTATGTTAGCAACATTTCTCACTGCAATGTTCCTGTAGTCTGAAGAGATGGGGCACGAGTCAAGAAGTTTTTGTTTTCCACAAGGCACTTCTGTTCTTCGTACTCTTCAATCAGCTTGTTCCATACAGCATGGACTCTCAGCAGGTTCTTGTTACCTACACAGTATGGGAAATGAGAAGAAACTTTTAATATGCTTGTCACGTAAAAGCTTGAATACCGAGTACAGCATCTAATGTGTCTTAGACTACAATGTACATCTCATTATCATTATCGGTCGGCATGCTTTTGCACCGCGCTGAAGAATGTTGAAAAGAAAGATGAACAAAAAATGTTGAATATTAAATTTGGATGGTGATTATTGTTTAGCATAGTGTGCAGTCCAGAAGAAGACAGTTTACAGGGTAACCCACCGATAATACACAGTCCTCTCCTGGCTCGAGTGATGGCGACGTTCACCTGGTTCTGGTCTGTGATGAAACCCAGGTACTTCCGGAGCCAGCTGGGGGAAGGGTTCTGTTCAATCTCGTACAACGAAAGAGACCTTACTGTGGAAAAGATGACGTAGTCCCACTCGCTCCCTGTGTAAATGGAACGTAAGAATATTCAAATTTTATGTAAAATGATACCATGTAAGTTACCAACCTGATGAAACTCTTTTCCGAATTCTTACCTTGACTGTTAACCACTGTGTTGACTCCAATCTGTTCCAACCTCCCGTCGCCTAGCTTCTTCTTGTGCTCTGACAGCTTTTCCTTGATTAGTGAATGTTGGGCCCGGTACTGGGACAACAGCATAACGTCTTCAGGTCTGATATTGTGCTCCATCACCAAGCAGATTGCCATCTTCACCTGTAAGAAACATCAGTGCAACATTCAGTACAGTACGATACATAAAATGGTAAATCGTGTTCATCTGCTTGCAGTGCTGGGGCTACACTGAAATAGACTGTAACAGAGTCACTGTTTCCCATGTCTATTAAAAACTATTGACATGGACTATGATTTACGCGGCCTGTTCAATGGTTAGAGAAAGGTGCCAAATATAACGACTACCTGACATAGTGTAACATAATTCATATGCACGGTTGAATACCCATTGGATGTCAAATGAAGCTCCATATATATCGAAGGGAACGATATGTTAGATGGGTTGGTCATGGATGCCAAATGATGTGTTTGGTGAGACTGCACAATGTTCATGTTTCTTACCGCCATGTCCGCCTCCTTTGCATTGCTCCTTGACATCTGGCTACCCTCTGGCGTTCTAGTTGTCTGGACCTCTTCCCTCCCGACCACATGGCAGAAGGCCAAGGGCCTGTTTTGTCCTCCTGGCCACAGCCTGTCCACTGCATGCGCTGATCTCGTTGTAACGGATGGGTCGGTATTAAGTTTGTTCGCGTAGAACATTCGGGACGGAAAGCTGCAGATGGCTTCGTGCTGTCAATAAAGAGTTACATGATTAATATTACTTGTGCCGATGGTGCTTCTTCACTGGGATATCAATTGTTGTTGGGTGAATTCTTCATAAGATAAGATTTGAATTGGGTTGGATACGATGAATTATACAATGTACATGTACAAACATTGGGTGGAGGAAATTAGGCACCGACATTGATGTGGGCACGATCACGGTGGTCCATTCGAGTAAATAATGTAACTAGTACGTAGAGTAACTGCTTCTATATTAAAATCTTTGTCTCGCACTTCTAAGGTATAAAATAAGGGATAGGTTTCTCTGTGGTGTTCCTGTTGTTTTCCCTGAATCGCTGAGTGGATCAGATCCTTACATCAATAATAGAACATATCCTTACCATGCGATATTGTGTTGTCAACATGGTTGCTCGCCAGGCATACCGTTGGAACAGTGATATATCGAGTCCAAGTTGCTGTGACGTCTTCTCCAGAACAATAGGCCTCAGCTGCTGGTGATCACCTATAAGAATGACTTGTTTGGGGTTGTCGGACCTGCACCAATAGGACGAAAGTTTGTTAAAAGTTAGATATAACTGTTGACTATTACGGAAAGATGGGCATGCATGGCAACACTATTACAAATCACAAATCTATTGCAAAGTTTTGACTCTTACCCGGGAACCCCGACCATTGGGACGAAACTCTCCGGTTCTGTGCACATACCGCACTCATCAATGATGCACTGCTCGATGTTAGTCGCCTTGCCCATCAGTGGACTGGCCGCAGCCGTGCAGGTGCACAGGATCACATGCTTCTGTTTCAGCTCATGAACCTGCAAGTAGACATTACCAATTAGATATTTCCCATGGCTTATAGTAATCAAGAAATACAGAGGCGAGGCCAAATAATCCTTATGTGATATGCCTCGAATGAAAAGACATTTAATGCTTTAGCAAGCTACTTGTTTGTTTACCATTCCGTGTGCAGGTGCGTTTGATAATGACAGTTATTTCAGGTGAGCTAATAGGACTACTTAAAAATGATAATATAATATAAGGCAGCTCCTCCATACTTAAATGTTTATATAAGATAGCCGTTAATGAACCATGTAACAAAACTATATAGTGAATAATTTAATTAAGGAAACAATAGATGAAGAAAGCTACTGGCCCCATGTACTGACCTTGGCTTTGCTAATCAGGTCTCTGTAGTTCATGATGTCTGCATCTGTCATGCGGTAGTTGGGGTCTCTGAAGCGACTGTCATACTCTCTGATTTCCATGCCGTAGGGATTGCTAGGTTTGCGGATGAGGTGGTGCAGCGAAACATCGTCGTGTTCTTTTGTTATCTTCGACTCTTTTTCGCTGGGGGGAAACAACCAAGAAGGGCAATGTTTTTACGGTTGGTTCTTTAACGTACTCGTGGCCGAGGTGTGGTCCTCTCCAAATACAGGATATCCGTCGAACTTCCTATCCTAGAGATGTCCATAACCGAAGCTAGATGCCCTCATCTCCATCTTAGTGAAATGAAGAAAGTCTTGCATTTACCGAGGGCATTTCAACCCAGTATCTGGGCCAACCGCGGTTACCACAACTGTCTGTACCTTACCTTTTACATCTGTGTGGATGGACCGGATCATCTGGCATGGGGAACTCTTCTTTCTCTATCAACTCGCTGTACACACGAACAATCTTCAGCTCTCCTATCCTTTTCATGTATCCTGAAAAAATGAATGTCCATCAGCCAATACATTTAGTTTTTCAACCCAGTGCATATTTTTAACATAAATCACAGCGGTTTCCCATGAATTTGTGCGATAAATGTAGATTATAAGGAATATGCATGAACAATTAGAACGAAAGGCTCACATATGTAACGTAACATTTTTTGATTTGGATAATGTACAATGTTTCCAACTTAAAATGTGTAGTATTTTGAATTTGCTTTTCAGTTTTATGGCTTTTCGATGATATTTTTGTTGACCTTACCAGTGACCACGTCTACTGCCTTGTTGGATGGTCCACAGTACAGGACCTGAAGATGACACGTCTCTTCTCCGATGTCGGACTCCTCAGCCAGTTTGTTCATCTGTACCAGGTAGTACGCTATGTGCACACCTGTCACGGTCTTCCCGGTACCTAATGATGCAATGTCAAAGGAAGCATAAATGTGGCATCGTGGCTTGAATGTATAGTAGCCAGGAAGTAATCACCCAAAAAGAAATGTTGATGAAATAAGTGTGGTCGGTATGCAGTCATGCATTTCAATTGAATCGGTCATATAGATGATTGAAACGGTGGGCGTGGAAATGATATTTCATGCATATTGGAAATGAAGACATGTGAAGGCATGTGTAATATGTCCAAATAGGCAATAGGCAAAATAGGCAACTTGAGATATCATTGCCAAGATGAAAAGACTTCTGCCCCCCCCCCCTCCAACAAAAAAGAAAAGAGATACTATACATACCGGGTGGACCCTGGATGAGAGTGAACGGTTGTCGAATAGCCTCCTTTACAGCCTGCTCCTGGACCTCGTTCAGCGGAAGGAAGGTTGGCAGCGACTTAATGGGAACTTCTCTTGCCCGCTTATTGTCTGTGCAACACAGAAAAGTACAAGTTAGACTCCACATAACACATACCATTTAGAGCTGTATAACTATAAAAGCACACCAGATTCTGTTAATGAATTTTTCATTTTATATATTCCCGAGTTTTTCGTCCCCTTTGGACTTACATTGACCAAATTGCCAGTGAAATCAGGTATAGTACGCGTTTATTTGTTGATTTGAAGGATGTCCATTAGTGAGTATAAGCATACGCATATACTCACTATTCTTCCTGGAGTCGTTAACTGTTGAGAGATTTGCATGTAAAATCAACACCAGCATACAGCAAATTATGTGGCGTAACACAGGCGTCTTAAAACTTTGCTTACCTTTAGCGGTAATGGGTTTCCCCATGGCAATTTGTTGGACTAATTCTGACGAACTACTCAGCCATCTTACCGCGTCCTCCATGCGTCTGGGAATAACAACATTTTTAGTACAAGACAATATCACAACGTCAATCATCAGGCAGGATTTAACGAAATCATATTTTTGATAACTAAAAATTCTTACATATTATATAAATAATAGGTTTCTCACATGTCAGGTAGAGTCTTGGTGATGATCTCTATGGTTGCGGGAATAGTCGAGCCGTGGTGCAGGAGAGCGTCAGGGAACGCCATGAGGTGCTGGTGAAGCTTGATAGGGACTGTGTCCTCACGTTTACTGCCCTTCCCTCTGGGCATCACCAGGCAGTGGCCCACCCAACAGACGAGGGGGGATTCCTCATCTGTCGTGTCAGTAGCGATGTCAAACCGGCCGTCCTCAGTCATCGTCGCTCTTACGCCAGTATAGCGCACGCAGATGTAGTCAAAGTATTTCCCACTGTCAGCATCGCCATCGGCCGAAGTTTCGCCTTGGGTAAAGCGGATATGGCGTTCTCTGCAAAACTCTTGCTCGAGACTGATTTTACCATAGTAGTCTGTGCCCTCATGTGTTTGTTGTTTCGTCCAACTAATGAATGCGCCATGGACAGTGACTGACTCGTTGTTTTCCACAGCACAGTGAGCCGCTTCCACCGCCATGATGGGCAACCACTGATCCTGGTACGCTTCTATAGAGTTGTAACTCAGCATGTTGGCTACAGTCCGTGTGGCGGGTACAGCAAACCTGGTCACTGCGTTTCTTCTGTGATCGAGGCATACGTCCAGCTTTGAGGTCAGGTTGAACAACTGGATACATGGCGACAAATAGCCCTTCCTCGTGTCTCCAATCAGTTGTATCTTGATGACTTGGCCTGGTTTGTACGCCCTCTGGAGGATACGGGCGTGTACGAACTGACCTTCCCTTGATTCAGATGATGCTTCCAACTGCTGCCTCGACTTCATACCAACGACGTCCTCGATATCCCTAACGACTTTTTGTATGAGCTCCACATTTTCCGCCAGTACATGTTGCCCTAGCCTCTGCCAATCTTGACCTGGTATCATTACTACATACATCTCACTGTCGAGTTGCAGAGGATTGTGACGCATCGAATGCGGAGGCAGTAGTGTCCTGTTTGGTGCGGTGTCATAAATCCGCTGGCTCCATCTCACCTCGACTGACTCTTCTTCGTCTTCAAGGCTAGGTAGAGCTGCTGGCTTTAGAAGGTTGAATGATACACCCCAGTGAAGAGACCCTGTGTGGCGTACCGACGGCACGAGGAGCTGCATCTCCTGTCTGTTAATGGTATCAATAACAGGGTAGACGACTTCTGGCTTGATCATGCAATGGTGCGCAAGCTTCAAAACCAACGTTTCCCTTTCGTACGTCTTTGCGTCGTGTTCCATGATGTTGTAGTGACTGCATATCTCTTTTATTTCATCCGAAGTGTATGGCGACGGTTTGCGTCTTATGGAAGCCACTACAAGGCGATGAACTACGACGTCGATGTACCTGCGAATTGGGGACGTGAAGAAGGTGTATGCTTGCTGCTCAGTTTCACCCTGAGTAGAACACTTGAACATAGCTCTGTCTTGGATGCTACGTAGTTGCTTCAGTGCTCGGGCCAAGCTCGGGTGATGGTCATCTGTGCCCACCAGTTGCTGTATCTTGTCAAGGTTGCCGTGAAAAGCAGCGCTGCTGATCTCATCCCAAACCTCCTTAATTAAGGGGATGTTTTCGGGTGGTGGACCCAAGGTCGGCAACACTTGGGAAAACTCTTCTGAATAGCCGGAGAGGCCAGGATAATCTTTTCTCCAGTTCTCAAGCTTCTCCTTCTTTGGAGGCTGCTGGACGCGTACAGGAGTTGTTCTAGGATACCTCTGTACCAAGATCTGGGCCACTTGGGTGTTTGCTAGCACCACCATTTCTTCCACCATTTTGTGAGCTTTTACAGCTCCGTCTTTGACCTCATCTGGTCGGTTGTAGAGATGAGATGGACCAAGCCTCTTTTCCCGACTGGTCGCTGCTACTTTGTGCAATGTGCGGACACTCTCTTGTACTTCCCGCAGTACTGACGATGAACCTCGCCCATCGATTATGTCTTCTGCTTGTTCATAGGTCAGCTTTGCTCGAGACTGGACGACGCATCTCTCTAATTTTGGTTTCTCGACAACTTCCCTGCGGCGACTGTTGAAAGTCACAAAGAGGGAAAGTGTCAGGCGGTCCTTGTTGGGTAGCAGACTACAGACCCCTTCACTCAGTCTTTTCGGGATCATGTAGACTGGTGGTTTCCCAGTCTTGGGATAGAGAGTAGTTGATCTCTCCTTAGCCTCTTTGTCTAAATCAGTCCCAGTTGGGACGAAGTAACTGACATCAGCGACGTGTATTCCTATAGTGTAGGTTCCATCGTGGTTCTTTTCTACACTGAAGGCGTGGCTCAAATCCATAGCTTCTGGTTGGTTGACGGTAAACACCGTGTGCGTTTTGGACAAGTCCTTTCTTTTCCTTTCCGCTGCTGGGATCTCCCAATCGACGAAGTATCGTCTGTTTACGTCTTCCGCGACCTTCCCCCTGTACTTGCTGGGGACATTGAACCTGTTGTTGAGTATGGCCATGTTTGTATCTAGCGTGTTATCTGGGGTGATGACATCCGTAACAACGCCCAGAGGGTAGACGTACCTCGGCGTCCACTTCAAGAATCTAACGACAAACAACTTCTTGTAAGGATCCGTGGGGTCAATGGTTTCATACTTCTTGAACCTGATGGAAGCGTCTGGCATGTAGCTGTACACACGAACACTATTTTGGCGTCTGTTCTCTTTGCCAAAGTAGGTCATCAACTTTGGTGCATCTGTGTTTATGGGGACCATTACGTTAGGGTTGTTGTCGTCAACAAAACATACAAACTTCCTCAGGTGCAGGTTAACAGCTGATCTAATGACTCCAACTACTTTTCCTCTTTTGGTGTCTGTTGGAGTCATGAATACTTCGGTCTCTTGGTCAGTATGCTCGAGAATTTCTACCATCACTTCGTCGTTTGCCCAGCCCAATCCTCGGTTTCTTCTTCCGGTAATTACAATGTCGTCTTCGTCTGTACCAATGACTTGACCGTATGCTGTGCGAGTCCCCGTCACGACCAGCCTGCATCTTCTGTACCTTTCTGGTTCAGTTCGGAGAAGGTTTTCCAGTTCGTCTGGTGAGTAGTTGGTATAGAAGCATTGTTTGTCGCTCTCCTCTTGAACCTCATCCTGTGTGGGGTCAAACGGCTCATCCTCACCGGAGTCGTACTCCCTTTCGGCGTCGTCTGCTGACAGACGGGGACGTTTCTCCGGTCTTGGTGGGGCTGGGCGTCTTACACTGTAGTGTAGATATACTTGCGATGGGTCGTTTTGACGTGGCACCACGCTGACATTGTCGGGGTCGAACTCCTGTGCTTGGAAATGCCTTGCTTCTTGTTCGTTCTCGTCTTCAAGAGTTTCAAGAATGAGCTGTTTGATGATTTCGTCTGACTCATCTATTTTCGTAGGCTGCTTGGCAAGTGATCCTAGTGTAGACCACGGTGGAGAGACTCCATGAATCTGTATGCTGGAAGTTGTAGGAGCTCTTGGAATGAAGGGCTGTGCTTCTGGGTTGAGTGGTGTGCTCTCACTTCTTTCATAGATTTGGCTCATTGTGAGGGTCTTTGGGAAAAGACTTTCGTTCTTCTCACATTCGGAGATGAAGTTTTGCCAGACTCTTTGGCAAGCTCCTCGTGAACACAGCGCGTGTGGGTCTCCTACCACGGCGACAAGGGACTGTGCCCTGGTCATGGCGGTGTTCAGGAGCTTACTGTCTGACAGGAAGCCGTAGCTGTTTCTGTCGTTCTTTGGGTCACAGGTTGCTCTGGTCCTGACTGTGCTGATAAAGATTGCCCTGAACTGCTTACCTGAAGAGGGGTTTCGTTATTAAGACACAAACGTGTGGTTATTACCACAAAGACAGACACTATATAAAACATTGTCGAAAGAACTGTCAGCTGACATACATATATATAGGAGCTAACCAATCTTTAAATGTTAAGGTACCTAACAAGCAATATAGCAATATCTATAGTACATAACATTGACATGGTGATACAATAGGTTAATTGCACTACGGGATCATGGACATGGTGACCGTACCTTGGATGTTGTTTACCATTTCCACTGTAACAGCACCCAAACCTTTCTGGCGCAGCTCTTTTCTGATAATCTGCGTCTGTGAAAAGACAATCGGAGCATGTACTCGAGCATTGTTAACTATGATTACAACATCTAGAATCATCCCCAAGGCTTCAAATCAATAGTGCAGTAAGGATGAGTTGCTGACCTGATAGTGGTATGGTGTGATGACTCCGATGTCTTTCATGCTCCTAGCACCCCACTCCTCCGGCCAGTCTTCCACCAGCTGCTCTACTCTCTCTAAGATCTCCAACACCTTTGGTAAAACAAAAAGGACAACTTAAGTTATAACAAGCTAGAACCTGTATGTAGTACCCCTTTGTCATGGCGGTCTATTTATATATTATCTTGCTCGTTCATGATGCCATCTAATTATAAGCAAAGCCTTTTATTGTCCTGTTGAATAATAAATCTATGATAATCAAAAGATAGATTAGCTTACCTCAGCCATGTTGAAGTACGATGTGCTGTAGTCTCCCGTCTTGTCTTCTCCCTCGGCGCTGAAGAAGGTGAGCGGGTACCACCGCGGATGGCGAGGCTGGCCCACGCTCTTGGAATTCAGCCCACCGTAGAAACTTTGCGACAGGAACTGGACAATCTCCTTGCAGCAACGGTAGTTGTCCGTCAGCATGACGAGGAATGGATTTTTCGCTTTCTCCTCTGTGCCTTTGCCAAGGCTGATGTACCTTTTTATTGGAAAATAATCACTTTAATCATATGGGCAATTCATATTTTAGTGGCACAGGATAGTCGACAAACTCCTGTTTTTAACTTATAGCCTGGTCAAAATATTGTGTAAAGAATTCAATCGAAGATTATAATCTTACCTTTGCACCATCCGCTCCAACAAGGACTTGTCAAACGATAAGTCGCACGCTTCTGTGGAGTATACTTTCGGGCTCATCTGTTTGTGGTCCCCGGAGAGGACGATACGCGTGGTGGAATCGGCCAGACAGAGCGGGAGGATGGTTTCACACTCCATGGCCTGAGCTGCCTCATCCAGCAGGATGTGAGTGAAGTGTCCCCGCTTGATGCCCATCCGGATCAGGTACATGGAGGTGGTGAGGGTGACGATGACGATACGGTGCTTCATGATGTCTTCCATCTCGGGCATGGCGAACGACGTCTTGCCGGGGTCCAGTTTGCAGTACTGCTTGACGATGTCGTCCACGGTCTCCAGGCGGCGCTCTTTGGCGTACACACGTAACGGTGTCGCCTCTGAACGACCAGATGTGACGTGTTTATGGAAGTAGTCTCTGATGTACAAGTCAGCCGCACTGTGGTTCGGACGACATGTACGTTAGTGTAAAATAGATGCAATTGCTACGGTCATTTTCGCCACAAAGACTTGGTTGGCAATGATGGTATAGAATGTACGCGTCTCATAAATACATGCATTTGAATTTGCTGCATTCAAAAGATTTGATGTAGGATAAGAAATTGCAAAACTGACCTATTGGATTGTGTCGCGATGAGAACATTTGTGCCTGGCTGCTGGAGAAGCTGAATGGCAGCCGAAGCCATCGTTCTAGTCTTGCCAGTACCGAAAGGACCGTACAGCACCACAGGTGGGTCATTGTGTCCTATCCTGCTAATGATGCGAGTGACAGCGGTCTTCTGTTTCACGCTTAGCTGTTTGTCCTGCACTTTCTGTGCTGGCAATGACTCCACCATCTTCACCCAAGACATGTCTGTCCTTTTGGGGACGATGGCATGAAGCGCCACCATGTTGTCCACAGCGAAGTGCATCTTGCAGAACGGCAACCGGTTCAACTGGAAGCGGACTTCAAACTCGGCGGTTGAGCCAGATTTGAGATCCAGGTCTTCGCAGCAGCTTCTGGACAGTTGAAGAAAGACTTCCTCCTTTCGCCATCCTTCAAAACCTTTTAATCGAACGATGTCGGCTTCGTAGACCTTAGGGGAAAGTACGAATGGTTTTAACAAAGTAAAGTGTTGTCGTTTGAACTGTCTTACACATTTACAATTGTGTTTGCAAAATTCATTTATGATAAAGTTTTATGAAACACTATTGCTTTATCATTTCTTGACAGAAGAACGAATTCTTTAACCTTATTTGTAGCGCTTCCTCGTTGAGCCAGAAGAACGGTGTTGACGTTGTTGAGGATGAGTTTTCCGGCCGGGCTATCTTCGCTCAGTTTATCCTGTAGCTTTAGCTTCGCATACAGTGTTCCATTCTCAGCAGACAGGAAAATTCCACTCTCTATACGATCGGACAGCTCCAGAGTTGTCTCAGTGCGAATACTGAAACATATATACATTGCACGCATCAATGAAGTAAGTTTATAGACGCATAGGAATTTATTTCTATTTTTTTTAGCGAAGAGCGAATCAAACCAGCTTTTTTCGTAATATTGATTTACTATGGCTAAAAGCCTAAGACTACATAGAAAAGAAAAGCACCATTATGATGAATGTATTCGTTTATTCTGGAGTTTTACCTGGCAATCTCTCTGTTTCTTGTCAACTCCTCCAGGTACAGAAGGTCCCGCATATGCGTCTTGTAGATAGTTTCGTCCAGCTCTTTCTTGCGTTGAGAAAGTCTTGCCAAAATTATCCCTGGCTCCTCCATTGGTTCTTTGTACTTCGCGAGCAATGCGTCGTCTTCTAGGTTGAGTTCTTTAGCAAACTTCACAATGCTTCTGTTCCCACTGTGCCAGCGTTCGAAGTCAGGCTGGTCGGCTGTGACTATCATATGCTCGGCACCTTCACTACCAACATACAACACAAGGTTCTTCCTAACCACTGGCCGTTTTCCAAAATCGAAAACAACCCATTGGTGAAAAACCCCGAACATCTGAGACGTGCCCTTGACTTCGACATTGTACTGGGTGTTGTCAGAGGAATTTGAAAATTGTTCACCCTCCGCCAGTTGACATTTTCCCTCTACTTTTGCTCCATGCAAACAGAAGTGCGTTCTGTGCTCATTGAAAAGCAATGCTACATGCTCTAACGGGTCCTAAGGAAAATAGAAAGATGGCAATGTCTTGATTACCTTAATTCCAACATGCATATATTAGATGTCATATAAAATCGAATCTACACTATCATAGATTAGAAAGAAAACAGTAGTTACAGACAGTTCTAACCTTGTCTAAAAAGACAGGTTGGTGGGTTTTCCAAGAGAAGATAACGCCCAACGAGCTTCCTAGTTGAGGAACTAAAAGTGTGGTAAATGACAGGAAGATAGAGAAAGTAATGTAACTGTAAATGGTAGAGACAACTGTAAAATACGCTTTGGCAGTTGATGAAGGGAAGAAAAGTTGATAAATAAAATAACAAACACTAAAACAGAACTCACCTTAGATGTCACAGTGAAAGTCCATGTGCACTCTGCTTCCTTTGTTTTCAGCATAACTCTTTCATTCTGGCCAGGTGGACAGTCAATACGGACTCCCTCCAGTGAGTCTGCAATCTAGTGATGATTGAATATGCTGAGTAAGTCGTCTTTCGTATTTCCCAATTTCAAAACAGCAGAATATCATCGACCTCATATAGGTGCTTAACGGACGAACACATGGCAACAAGAACAACCATTTGTACTATAAATGCTTGAGTACTCACTACTGATGTTCCATCTGTGGTCTTCTCATACTCTTCCCTGAGTTTGTCCATGTAGGAGAACAGGTTCTGCTTTCGTGCCATTTCCATGTAGAGCAATCTGTGCTGCCGTCTCTCCTTCCACTCGTCCAGTTCTTCTTGGCTGTGCGCTTCCGGACAGATGTTGTGTCGGTCTTCAACTCCATCGTACTGGCAGGCGCCGGCTGCATGGCTAAAGTGCAGCATTTTAGAGTTGTCAAATAGTAATCAAAATAAAGGTACATAAAAATCAGGTACATTTAGTAGAAACAGTAGTTTTGAGCAATTATGATGCTGTTTATTTGTCATCTATTTATTTGTTTTTGTTGGTTATAATTATTACAGCAGAGGCTACCCACCGAGGTTTTTGGAATGCACTGACGTCGTATGGGCAGGCCTCACCAAACAGAGATGCTGTTTATAAATGTGTCACTAACTAAATTGCTTCATTTCGTCTAAGGAATTGTGAAATAGAGTTGAAGGCAACTATTTATATGAAAAAATGAGGCACCTTTGGCATAGTCTGTACTCCTCATCTTGGCCAATCCACGGCGGACGGCGGTACTGCCAGTTGTCGCTTGCGTCTGACCTGAGGCGGGCCTGATGTCCCTCGGAGGAACAGTGTTGGTCGAACGTCACCCTGCCGCTACAGGTCTTGTGACACAAGTTACAGTAGTACTGACTGATCTGTGGACTAAGTAGCGGGAAGTCTGAAGTGCGCCTTGACGTTTGACGGGACGTCGATGTTGTGGCTGCTGATGGCCTTGGTGTGGCATGTTGTTGTTGTGAAAGATTCACTAGCTCTTCAAGGTCCAAGACTGTATACGTAGTCAACATTCAATGGATTATTAGATATTATTAAAAAATCTGCTTTAGCTTTTACAACAGTTAAACTACCGAGTAATACATCAAGAGCAAGGAAAGACACTTATAACCTTCAAAATCACACAAGAAAAGTGAACCAACAACGAGAAGAGGATAGGAGAGTAATGCATAAGAGAAAATTTTTGTATCTTACTTTTCGTTTCCTTCTGGAATGTCCATATCTCCATTTCCTCTTGACTGTGAGGATATGTGCACGTTTTGCCGATACGACACTCTTTGTGTTGTTGAACCTGCCGGCACATCCGAAAAGGCGACTTCGGCATGTGGCTAGGCGGCTGGCGAATTTCCCTCCCGGTGTCAGTGCTCAGACACATTCTGTTTACCTCATTCCATGGGTGATTGTTTCGCTCGCAAGTCTTGCTGTTAGTTGATAACTTGCTCACAGCTCCTCGATCGGACAGCCAACACTGTCGGCAGACGAAGTGCAGCTTGTACGGGCATTTTACTTGTTGTTTTGGTTCCTCTTCTTTTGTCATTTTACGGGGTTCAGTTGTTGTCAAAGAGGCGTCAACCAGCTGCCGTTGTGAAATGCCGTACTTTCTCTCCAGCATCCACACGTCCATCTCGACTAGGCTGTGTGCCCGTCCACATGGTTTGCTGCATTTGTCGACGTAGGCACAGAACAGTGGAATCTGATTTTCCGTCAGCTGTGGCAATGGCATTATCGGTGTATAGAGAGTCTCCTCTTTGCTTATTTCGCTGGCGTGAACAAGAAGTTCAATGCCGTCTTGGTGTTGTCCTTTCGGGGAGTGTTTGTCGCACAGCGCAGAGTCCCTGAGTACCTGAAATATAATTCCATTGAATTTAGTATATACATTTGACTTTTATCTAGTAAATAGTTATATGACTCAAGTTATAAAATTCACCTTTAAATAATCAATAATTATTTACACGTATTTTTAATTGCTTACCCCGGGGCTGCTTTGGAAGCACTTTTTGCACAGAAACCGGAAGATGCCCCCGTGTTTCTCTTGTAGCTGTTGTGTAGCATCTGGTTTGGACGCGTGTGTTTTTGAAAGCCGAAACATCAACTCTACATAGTTGAAATTTCCTTGTCGCTCTCTCGTCCAGAGATCCATTTCGATGTCATTATGGGCAAAAGTGCATCTGAAATAGCAACAATAGAAAGTTAAACAAGTTACATGACACATTTGAGGTAATATTTTACCTTAAACCTATTCGGAAGGGGGTCCGAGCCAACTCTCCTATAGCGACTGAACGGCTTTCGCTAAAATATATCTGGCAAAAATCCCATATTAATCAGAAACTTTAATGGATTTCTGTGTTGAGGTTTAGCAATTAGGTAATATCGATTTAAACATTAGGATTTCAAGGTTTTTATGTTTAATTAACTTACATTCTAACATCAATAAAATCTTTATATATACTTATTATTATGGCTTCACCACACCACGAAGTTACTTTAATAGAATTGAGCAGAAAAGATTCATTTACTTAATAGTTGTCAGGGTATTTCCACAACCTTCTATTAGTTTCTCTAAACAGAGTATTCTGTCATACCTTTGCTCTCCAAGCCTGCATGGCATTGACGACTGATACTGATGGCAAAGTTTGTACGTTCCAACGAAAGCGTGCTGCGGGCGCGGACGGACTTTCTTGAAAGCGTCGTCTGCATTCTTCTTTCGAGCAAGGAGAAAGTTTTCACGACACTTGTGATTCTTGTGTTTGTAAGAGTATGCCCCTGAGCCATCCTTGCCTTCGTCCTTCAGAAAGCACCTGTCGCAAGCTAGCTGGTAGTGATAAACACGTCTGCGCAAATTGCCGATGCTGGTTTCTTCAACTTTCTCGGGTGCAGTACGAGAGCCCGGGTCGGAAAATTCATATTCGCCCAATGTCAATTCAGTTATGGTGACCCTCATCGGTGAACTCTCAGGGGTTAGACTGGTGCTGGAACTGTAGCCCGAAGTGGCCGAACTAGGCGTTGAGCAGCGACTGGAGCTGAGACTAGAACCGGCCATGGATTTCTGTAACATTTAATTCATACAATATTTTTTTTATTCTTACGTACTTTCAAAGGGCATGTCGAAAACTTAAGCTAAATAAGCTAATCAGTAAGAGCTTGCTGTGACAAGCCTAGTAACTATTTAGACCGATCTCACTTCCTCCCATCCAGCAGAAATACTATGTAGATGGACATTGAATCTGCGGTTACGATATCCTATCACTGTACTACATCATTCAAATACCAGCGAAAACACAAGTACACAAGCGGGAGCAAGAATTATATCGAAACATCTCCACACAGACACAGAGACCAGCATATTCACAAGTTAAGGTGAATAAGAAGTACCTACCACCGTGTCCTGAACTTCCTCGTCGAAGTCGCTATCCAGGACGTCGATACCTAAGTCACTCTCCTCCTCCCTGTCTTCTCTCGTGTCTTTATAGCCCTTGGCGGTGTCGGCGTCATCTTTTCCTCTCGGACTGCGTTCATATGCCATCTCCCTGTAATCTGTAGAAATGGCAGCTTGTGCTTTCGATTCTTCTCCGTCAGATGCTCTCTGTAATAGGTTGATAAAGAGTCATTTTAATGATTGACAATTTTAGTTTTTAATAACATTAACATCTCCACCTACTGGCAGGTAATTATAAATGGATATATATACATTCAATTATCTAATGTTAATCACCTGCTTCCTCTGTTCCTCTTTCGGTGTCTCTTCTTGTGTCTTTGTCCGACGTTTAGAACCAATTTCTTCGATTTTCTTCCTTTTCTACATTGCGAAGTGCATGTATAATAGAGTGTGAACTCGTATAATAATTTGAAAATAATAGTATCAAAGCCCAAACCACAGCTGGATTCATGTTCTTCATTGAAGTAATTCAAAAGATGAGTCCCACAACCATCTTCGTCAAGCTTTATTTCATTGTCTTTTTAGTAGTCGGTCTGAAAACAGTACTTTATTGATTTGTTCACCAATCCTTAGTTTTGCTGTAGCTCAGACTTTCCAACGACAATGATAGCAGGTCAGACGACTGGTTGGAGTACTAGTATGTTGGTGTAATACCCGGAGAAAAAACATCATACAACCCCTTCGCAGTTCTAATACATTCACCAAAACGTTAACACTTCCCGGGCGTCTAAAATATCCAATATTATGTTTTTATTCCACAATGATTACAACCATTTTCAGAAGATCGAGAGCATTTTAATCAAAGATTGTCAGAATTCTATGTTAAAAAGTTTGTTCATCGGTGTGCAACTGTCTAAATTTACTCACCTGTTTCCTCTTCTCCTCTTTCAGTGCCTCTGCCCTTGCCTCCAGTTGACGACCAATTTCTTCCCTTTCCTACATTGTGCAGTACATGTATTACATTTGAACACGTGTATAACTTTGATCACAGCTAGATTCATACCCATTTACTCTACTTGAACAAATCGAGAATTTCGCTAACTTACTTGAAAAACCCAACGAGCATCTGGAGTATCAGCAGTTCCTGCTACCTTCCAGAGAGCAAGTAAGTCACAACACGGCCATGCCATACCTTTATAGAATTCGGTCTCTAGTCTTTAACCCTACCTAGACCGGGCTTTTTTTGGCATGGGGGGACCGGGGGGGGGGCTCTTTTGACCCCCCTCAGAACTCGCGAACGGTATGTCGTATGACCACCAAATTTTCAGAGGATGGTGTACTAGTAAAAATTTATCATATCTACATTTTGTATGTCATTATGACGTAATATGACGTCATTATGACGTCATTAATGTGATTTTATTGGCCCAAACCGTCTAGATAGGTTTTTCCCTGAAAACTACATGGTATTCAACATAACTGTACCAAAAGTGTTTATGACAGAATATTAGGGTGTACTAAGTCTTATGTTGCCCATAGCAACACCGGTGACGTCATAAAATGACGTCATGCATATTTAAGATATCCACCATCTTGGATCATCAATCTTGAATTTTCACAAATAGTTTTTTTCCATGATAAAGCCTAAAATACATTTTAAACATACTAAAGACCTTCATTTAAACCTTTTTTGGAAAAGAAATGGAAGTATTGATGAAATTTTAATGAAAATAATCCGTATATACCTGTTCTAATGATATGGTCCGCCATCTTGGATTTTGGACAATGACGTCATCAAATTAGCATGAATTATGCATATTTAATTATAGAATTTACATAAAATTTTATGGGATGTTATTAATATTAGAAACCATGAGTAACTTGACATAGAACCCATAAAATTCTATTGTTGAAACCATAAGTACTAAATTTAGCAAAAAATGCCTGTCAGAAACCCGTTGCCATGGCAACACAAAAAATTATTATCTTATTCCAATGATAAAGAATTGTTGGCAACAATATTCTAGGAAAAGTCACCAAGTTTGGCCGTTCTAGCGGTAGTCGTTCAGACGCTAGGTGAAATCAAAGTTGGCGCCGGCACTTTTAGCCCCCCCCCCCCCCCCCGTNTTACGGTAGGGGTTAAATAGGATATACTGCTCAAAACATAAAGAAAATGCACAAATTAAAAGAAAGTGTACCTTCTCTCTCCTACGGTCCTCTGCTGCTTTCAACTGCTTTTTGGTCTTTGGTTTAGGCTGAGGTGAAAAAAAAAATTATACCAGGAATAAACCACCACTGCTACTGAGTCAGGGTACAACAATAAAATTGTATATGTAGGGTTGAGTTAACACAACACAGGAAAACGACAGATCTACGTATTACTATTTTCTCGCCTTTTATTTATTTTTATTCCGCAATGACATGTTTGATAAAATAGTAGGTATTCTAATCAAGTAATGAATGAATTATGTCTTTTCATTGATATAACTCACCTTCTTCTTCCTTTTTGTTTCCAGTGCTACTCCCTTGGTCCAAAGTTCGCGGCCGACTTCTTCCATTTCCTTGGTTGTGTATTAATATGAAATAGAATTAAAACAATATCACGATAGCGTAATCAAGACACTTCGGTATCATAACTCTAGAATTCAGAGAATAATTTTTGGCAATAAAAAGAAAACTAAAACACTTTATCTTAGACGAAGATACCTACAGATGATGCTCTTACCTTGATAGCAGCTTCATGTTCAATAGGTTCACTGCCTGTGTAGAATAGGTGGTAAGACAGGGTCAAAGAGGCCAACGATTGGCATGCGAGTTCATTGCGGACTGGGAAGTCAATGTTTGTTAAACTGACCAAATGGATAAACGGTTGATGTGTATTAATGAATGTTGAATGTCAATTTTGGAAATTTTCGCTGTAATGAAATCAAAATGCAAATTTAAATAAAATAGCCTTTTTGAGCGAAATTGTTATATAAAAGATTGTCATAGCCATACACATAATTATGTAATTGTTACCTGAACTCGAAGTGTCTCCTACAACCAGCTGTATTACGTCGGTTTCTCCTTTCTGTTTCATCTCCTCCGTGATCAGTTCCTGAGTCAAAGTTTCCGACAACTTTAAACAACAATAAAATTGTATATGTAGGGTTGAGTGAACACAACACAGGAAAACGACAGATCTACGTATTATTATTTTCTCGCCTTTTATTTATTTCTATTCCGCAATGATATGTTAGATAAAATAGTAGGTATTCTAATCAAGTTATGAATGAATTATGTCTTTTCATTGATATAACTCACCTTCTTCTTTCTTTTTGTTTCCAGTGCTACTCCCTTGGTCCAAAGTTCGCGGCCGACTTCTTCCATTTCCTTGGTTGTGTATCAATATGAAATTGAATTAAAACCATATCACGAAAGAGACATCACTAATTAAGACGTTTAAATGTTTTAACTCTAAAATCCAGAGAAACATTTTTTGGTGAGAAAAGAAAACTAAAACACTTTATCTTATACGAAGATACCTACAGATTATGCTCTTACCTTAACAGCAGCTTCATGTTCAATAGGTTCATTTCCTATGTAGAATAGGTGGTAAGACAGGGTCATCAATTGCAAACAGGCCAACGATTGGCATACGAGTTCATTGCGGACTAGGAAGACAAACCTTAATGTCTGTTATAGTGACCAAATGAATGTTCATGTGTATTAATGAATGTTGAATGTCAATTTTCATTAGAAAATTTCGCCGTAATGAAATTAAAATGCAAAATGAAATAGCCTTTTATAACGAAATTGTCATATAAAAGACTGTCATAGCCACACACATGATTATGTAATCGTCACCTGAACTCGAAGTGTCTCTTGCAACCAGAAGTGTTACATGGATGTAGAGGTCGGTTTCTCCTTCCTGTTTCAACTCCTCTGTGATGAGTTCCTGAGTCAAAGTTTCCGACAACTTCCCATCCCGGTAGGCTCTCAGAAATGACACCAAATGTGGGATGTCCTCAAACTCTAGGGTGCAGAGCACGCATCCATCTTCAATCTTCTTCAAGATTGCACTGAACAGCTTAAAGCACTTGCGCATCTTGGGAAAGCTTCTTAGATCTCTTTCCAAACGCGAAAATACCATACTGTGTACCTTCCTATAATGATGCTTGACTTTGTACTGGACTCGTAACTTTGCTCTGCATGACAGTTTGAAGTAGTGCAATGCATCATCAACGTGTTCCCTAAAATCCAATAGCCTGCTTTCGAGTTGTTCTGGATCGTTAAGTACTTCTTCATCAAAGATTTTCTCGCTGATCCTCAGTAGTCTGTAGTTTTCCTGTAGACTTTCCTCGTCGGAACTGCTCCCAAAGGGACCTTCGTTGCTTTGAATGCCAATGTTGGGTACCGGAGTTGCATACGTAGCGCTGGATGCTCCTGAAAAGAGGGACAATACCTATATCTTTATACGGGATACAATGTCTACAGAGTTTAATAATCAACACTGATGGATAGTTGCGTAAGTTAGAAAGTGAATAACTGGGTTGTTCCTCATATGGGTCACAGCAAACTCCCGCAGTCCTTGAGGCAAGTTAGAAAGTATACTACTACTGGTCCACATCTTTATGTTATATGTTCAATGTGCAGTGTTCGGCATATTGCATTTCGTTTCCGTAACTTTAATACATGACATCGTAAATCCATGGTTGATACACAAGACGATACCATGTCTGTATTGACGTTGGTTGCATATTATGATATTCCGCGAACCGTGGGTACCAATACCATCCTGTCCTTTATACCGTACATGTTGGGCGTTACATGAATATGCCACTTGGATAAAGTAGTTTTGTGGTTAATATTATTAAATATTTGGATAAAGTAAATACCTTCACATATACACGCATCAATGAACTGTCTTTCTGACTCCTCCCAGTATCTTGTATCCAAGAGATCCTTCTTGAACTGTGCAGCTGTGTCGAACTCTTCCTTGCAGTGCTCCAGGACCTTCTCAATGCAATCAGCCCAGTGGGCGGCATTCCTTTGCTCATTGCCCCGAACGTCTGTCTTAACAATGCAGTTGTGATAACGTCGAGCATACGTGTTGATTAGGTTTGCCAGTCCAGATTTGTCAGACACGAGAACCGGAACTCCAGCTGCAATAGCCTCCAGGCCAACAAACCCAAACGGTTCGGCGCGAGAGGGCACCAGAACCAGGTGGGCCTGCTTCATGTTTTTGCAGATGTCCTTCTGTGTACCGTAAGGGAGGAATGTTATCTCTAGATTAGCTGACTTGCGGAGCTCACGAATCGCCTCTATTGCTTGTTTGTCTTCTTTGTTTACTCCCCATACTCGAAACGTGATTGGTTTCTTCTCTGCAACAATGCTCAACGCGTCAACAGCAAGGTCAAGTCCATTTAGTTTCTCAACACCTGCCACCCTACTAATGCACAGGACCACCATTGTCCCCGTGTCCTTGTATTCAGCATCTACATGTTCGAAGATACAAGAAGGCCGTGGAACAAATCTTATATGTTGAGGTCGCTCATTGGCAGGTATTGCTCTGAATTGGTTCTCAAAGTGATCAAAGATCCTGTTCCCGACAGAGAAGACGGTATCTGCTTCTTCAGCATCTTTGAGAATTGAATCTTCCTTCTTCCCAATGCCCATGGCCTCCTCATCCCCCTTGTATTGCTCGGTCTCCTCTGGTATATCGTCGATGAAGAGAATGACTTTTGCACCTGGACAGCGGTCCTGCTTAATCCGGCATGCTGCTCTGCTTGTGCCATCAGTGTGTCCCACGATGGCTTTTACCTTCGAGGGGAGATGTGGGTATTTGGCACGATGGTCAAATGTCATCCAGCCAAAATCTGGCTTAGTTCTTTGATCACCTATCTGAATTTCAGGCAGTAGCAGTTCCACTTTATCATGTGTAGCATCCTCCCTGTCCTCATCCGTTGCTTCTAACACAGCACTAACCACCGGGATGTCCGGTTCATGTTCCCTGAGTACTTGTGCTAGCCGACGGTATATGGTGGAGATTCCTCCTTTTAATTTACCATATACCTTACTCAACATCAACACAGCTGGGTTATCTGTAGGCACAGATCAATGGAACTTGAGATTTATTAACATTAGTGAAGGAAAATTGCAATGTATTCGTGTTGATTACGACGATTTCAAATACGACATGCACTGCATGTATATGTATGTAATACAATTATCTAAGTAATATAAAAATGGGGGTAAATTGCATAGCAAATAGGAAAGTTAATGATAATGAAAACATTTAAGCTAGTATGAACATTTAAGGTATCTGTAGCTTAAATGGCAATCAGCATTGCTTAAATAGAATCTATGACATCATTTTGATTAATAAATGATAATATTTTGCACTCATATTTAAGAATCTTAAATATTTCATAGCGACAGATATTTTACCATAATCTCTGTATATTTGAAATGTCTTTTCTTCACTTTCTTTTTTATTAAATTTTCAAAGTAAGACAAAAAACATAAACAGACATGCATGGTACATCAAAACAGATTAACACAAAATATATACAATGTATGAAAATATGATTGGAACATATTCAGTAATCATGGTTCATAACAGTTTAAACATAATGACATTTAAAAAAAAGTTTTTGTGTAGCTGGAGCAAAGTCATGAAAAGTTATAAAATATGGGCGGAGGTATGACATCGACGAACTCTAACAATTACTACTTGGCTATAGGCATGCCTCTGAGCTTTCACACAGCAATATTTACATCAGTTCGGATGCTTTCATTACAAGAAATCACTTATGGAGCTTTAAAAAGTTGTAACGTACCCATTGTTGCTCTAGTGTGGTCTCGCCTCTGTGGGTTGCTGACGCGGTTTTGGCACGTATACTGCAAGATGGGAATATCAAATTTGTAAAGAGCCAGTACTGTGAATAAATCCTGGGGAGGACATAAAAAAGTGGAAAGGGCATAGCTAGAAAAGATATTTGCTGACTTGTTGCTTTTCTAGCTAGTCGACTAATGAGAGAGAATTACCATGGTCGAGCGATAAAAACAGTCAAACTCGTTGTTTTCTTTGTGTGTTTTCTTTGCTTAGACCATGGATACATGCTTAGACCAACTTGGAGTTTATCATGAGCCTCTTTTAATCCTGAAAAGTATATACATCATATCATATATATTCATTAGCTAACATCAAAATCTGTATTTCCGGCCATGATAAGAAAGTTTTGGAGTTTACAAGAGTTCAACTTTTACTTGATTTCTTGATCAGGAAGTGAAATTTCGACAACGCGCTCAGTGTAAAGGCGTCTAAACTTTCAAATCATTAAACTATTTGTGACAGTTTTAACGTTATATTTCTGCAGTTAGGGACTCATTATTGTTCAATAAAAACATTTTGGCATGTGTTGAGTTGATAACTTTGCTTACCTTTGTTGAAAAGTGTGGATATTCTTCTAAAAAGCCAACGCAAATAACGGTAGCGTCCCTAGCTGAAGGTCAAAGTGTACCTGATCAAAGAGACACCTGTTACGGGCTTTCTGATTGGTCAATCTTCTTGTAAACAGGTGTTTACTGTTGCTCGTCTTAGTAGTAGCTTTTGTGAAATCTTTGAAACTTAATTGTCTTATCAGATCTATGTAAATCATCGAAATTATTTCTCAACGTTAATAGGTAACTTCCTAATGTTTTGCTTATAATCTATCAAAAGACTGCACCAATAGCAAGCCTCCTAACAAATCACCTGCGGGAGGGGCGGTTACACCTGTGCGCAAGCGCACTTGGGACTGTACCATGAAAATTGTGGGGGTTCAAATTTGTTCATGTTTTCTTGTGAAGATCCATACAGCTCAGTTACCAGAAAGTCAATGTGTATGAAACATTTGCAACATAAATTTGAACGTTTGATGAAACATTTTATAGAACAATTTCCGTTACCAATAAAATGTAATGTTTGTAACGTTAGTCGACGATAGATAGAATTTGTATGCAAGGTTGTTATGGCACGACGTTATCAGTAAATACAATGTAAATGTTTTATTTACGTAACTTAGAACAAATGTATCGCACATATGGCATCTCTAAAGGGATTTTTAATTAATTGTATTATCAATATGTACGAGAGGTGCGCGATGCTTTTCAAAGTACTTTTCTTGTTGCCCCCTTAAAGCTTCTTTACTGTATGGGGAGGGGGGGGCATTTGTATTCGAACCGGTCAGTTTCAAAACAAGTTTTGAAACTGCTTTGAAACTATCTTAAAATGATTGAACTTAAAAAATGCGAGTAAATAAACAATGACTTTATTCTCTTGCAGGCACTTAATATCAGATTTGTTCCTTTTCATAACTGCTTGGATACTACATATACAATGTACACTACATGTATGTTGTACTGTAATGCAAGGCTTATGATAAATGTACATATTGTTCAAACACCTAATATGCTACTGCTATATCACACTGTACGAAAAGCTCATATTCTAAAGTGTATATTCAAAAACCAAATGGTATTTTGTGGAGATTCCACTTCTTCTAACCTACTACTTAAATTTATCCCTAATTGAGGAAATAATACATGCTGAACATAATTAATCCAAAGTCACATAATGCTATTTAATGAAAATCTTTTGGAATGAAGACATAATTTAACACATACTAAATTATACATAGTAGTACAAAATGAATAGTTAATGAAGCTCACACACTTTCAATCCTGAGGGAACAAAAATATCTTAGAAATCGCAAAGCAGTTAGGTCTACTAGTAATAGGAATGTTAGAATGCTTAGCTGACAGCTACCATTATAACTCACAAGGTCGAATATGTTAATACATTACAAGTAATATTCTTTCCACAAGTTAAACATATTTACAAGTAGCAAAGCAATTATCCTTGAAACTTGAGTAACAATGATTATGTCTAACTCTGACTCATTGTTATATAGTATTGCCATATAAGGTTTACACAATACATGGTATCATGAACAGCAACAACAAAAATACATCACTTCTTAAATTACCTTCAATTTTCAAGTAGGTCTCACTTGAAAGAAAATAATGTTCAGGCACTGCTTTCTATATTGCAACAATCTACATATTAATCTACATATTGTGCTTTACAATAATGTAATTGAATACAAAGAAGTAGTCTGCTTCATTCAAATTTGACTCATCTGCAGGTAGCTTTTTCAAATACATCACTCGATCATGATCCTACAATCAAATTCTTCTTTTTCAACAACTACATAGTTGATGTAGGTTTTAATGCTGTCATGTACTGCCTACTTGTTTTGCAATCATTACTTAGCAGCAAAAAAACCTCCTCAAACCTACCATCAGTATTGCTTCACCAATACATTCCTGTACACAAAATTGCTCCTTGTCCAAATACACATTACTAGTATGTCCTGCTTCTTACTCAACCTAATTTGGCCATCTTTTGGTGATCTGAAAACTTTTCAACCATAAATCTCAATTGCTTACTGCAAGATACAAAGTCAGACACTTATATAACAAGTGGCTCCAGTTATTTCTTTAGTTGAAACTACACTTTGTATGCAACTTTACTAGGTATGTCCTTTTTGATAGCTTACAACAAACTTGAAGAGCTATGTATGGAAAGAAGGTATACAAGGTCATCTTCAACATTTGTCTACTTAGGTATAACCATAAACTTACAATAAAGTACTCCCTCCAAAATATGATGGATTATTATATAAATCTACATGAGTCTAAATTTAACTGAAATAATATTGTAAGCTACCATCTACCCCAAATCCTTGTCAAAAGGCACACTACTGTCCATTGATTGTCAAGGTATATTCCTTATATGTATAAACTAGTAAACATGAATACATATATGAGCCTAAGAAACTCATGCTTTACCTCTGCATGCAAATACTGCATCATGGATACATCACAAACATAGTGGTATAGTCATGCTACTATACAAAAATATAATAAACTCATAACCAAAAATTATAGGTATGGGTTTGGCATATCAGGACTTAACAATAAATTTCTTGCTCATTGAAAAACAATACTGTATTGTTGTTTATCAAAAACAAGACTACAGAGGAAGCATTTTTTTAATTAAAAAAGGACAGAATTAACAGAAATGTGGGCTAGACATCAAGTCACTATTTCCTTTTTAATGTCAGTTTTACTATCATTATGTTGTAGAGTTAATTTTTAACTCCTAATGTTTTTCTTTCTGTACATGACCTACAAGGGTCGAGCAGCTGCAGCGCCAGCCTCGCTGTCAGGGGGCGCTGCAGGCTTGCTGATTCTCATCTGCATGGCCACACAGCTGAGCCAGCTGCGACTGGTGGGCATCTCACCAACAATCTCCCAGCTGTCTGTCTCAGCGTCGTAACGCTCTATTGTGTCATGGTATCTGTTGAAAGAAGAAGAAACATTTACATTTTTCTTCAAGTCTCATTGTTACACACTACAGGGGTCAAAATGCGTATGTACCTTGGTGCAGGTAAAATTGGGGTTGTGCGGGTACATGTATTTCTAAAATGTACCTGCAACAAATCTGCACTGGTCCATGTACTGAGTTTATATGTATATGTTAGTGTACGTGGATTGTTTATTGGCTTCCTGAATTCCCTCATGCCAACCGGGATACTTGCCAGTCTCTTTTACCTCATGTGATGTCAATCTTCCCCTTGAATGCTGTAAACCTACTTGGTCAGATCCGAAACACACAAACTCACACGGCAGCCACTCAAAACAATACTTCCATTCCTGAAGGAAACATGTAGGACCTGGTGTAGATATAGAAAACAAATATCTGACCTGTCCCAGCCTTCCTCCCCTCCGCACACGTATATCTTCCCGTCCACGATGGCCACACCCGGCCTGTAGCGGCGCTCGTTCATCGGCGCTCTGCTCTCCCAGACGTTCCTCTCCACGTCATAACGCTCCACTTTGTTAGTGTTCTCTGTGGAGGCATGCCAACCTCCTGCATGAGGGGGGCAAGAATAGAACATCAATAAAACCATCATAAGTTGTTCATTGTACAAATCTTATAAATGCACAAGCTCTAAAAGAAGGTGTAAGGGAAGGTTCATGGTTTGTTTAATAGCCCTGTTGATAATGTAAAATTTAAATTATACATGCAGGCAGAGTCACTATCATTACCTTCGCCAAGAAGGTTATGTTTTCAGGGGCGTTCGTGTGTCTGTGTGTGTGTGTGTGTCAGCACGATAACTCAAGAAGGCTAAGATGGATTGTCTTGATATTTGGTAGGTGGATAGGTCTTCATGAGATGTGGAACTGATTAGATTTTGGGGCTCCTAGCGGCTTGTTATGGTACTGCAGCTGAACTTCCGGTTTTGATATCTCGTGATCTAGACATGCTAGGGTGACGAAATTTAGATGGTAGGTAGCTCTTGTGCTAGGGAAGAAGTGACGTGAGTTTAGACCCCCTAGCTGCTTGCTCTGGAACTGCAGGGGCGTTAGTTGAAAAATATTTAAAGGCGGATAACTCAAGAACCGATTGATGGATCGTCGTGATTTTTTGCATGTAGGTAGCTGAAGTGATGCTTGACATGATAATATTACAATTATGCAAATATTAATGTAATTTGAATATATATAATTAATGAGGAAAATCTATAAATCAGCTGCATTCCATGAAAGGACTATTCAAGCTTGTGTCATATGTAATTAAGAACGGCAGAAATACAGGCAGATATCAATTATGCAAATGAGGACTTAATTTGCATAATTAATGAGAAAATGTTATAATTACATAGTGGTAACTGCCTGGAATTTCATACTTGGGATATTTGAAAGCTATGTGAAGGTGAACATAGTTAAACATAACTTATTCAAATAAGGACCTCATTTGCATAATTTATGAGGAAATGCTATAATGGCATTCTTTGATAAGATAAGACTGTCTTCTGGTGTAGAATATGATCAACAGATATAATTGATGCAATGTAGGATCCTATTTGCACAATCAGGGGGATTAATCTATAATTTCTTAGTCATAAGGGCTAACATCATTTGGCGAAGGTATGAGATCGTGGAACTCTAGTTTTTCATGCAGTGAGTTGGTGAATTTCTTTGACCAAGTCCTACCTTAGACTTTAAGAATGGTACAATGTGCATACTGCTTATCTGCTTATATAGCACTTGGCACATATGGAAAGTAGCATCATGATGCTAGTTGCACATATACACGCTACTATATTAGTGGATATACATGTAAGCCTCATTTCCTAGACTATTGTCTGTGCTTGTATAGCCTGATTAAATTGCTTTACGGTTACCGGCTGCCCAACATCCAGCTGTGGGAAGGGGCCACTAAAGCCGTGGATGGCAGAGTTTGCGATACGCAGACTAGTGCTTGTACAGCTATGTGGTCCAAGAGTGCCAATATATGTATACCCTTATGTACATGGTGTTGGAATGACTTTTGAAATACCTGTATATCATTTTACATACATGTATGCTTTGCCTGTTTTCCACATTTTTGTAAGCTATAACTGAATCAGACCCTACCAATAACATATATGAACCCCTTCAGGACACATGCTGCTGACCCCGACCGTGCGATCAGCATGGGCTGCAGCTCCAGCCAGGCCTTGGTCTTAGGGTCGTAACACTGCACAAGGTCAATGCCATCTCCGTCTTCAAGTACAGCTCCTCCTGTAGTGTACAAGATTTTAAAACATGACAGTTGTAAAAGGTTACTGTAAGTTCATTTATTTTTGCAGGGACTGAACTTTGCAGTAGTTTATGTGGCAATTTTTTAAGGTTGCATTTGAAACAATTCTCTATTAATAGTATACTTATTAGGAATTCAATGAAGAGAACACAGTGAAAATTGTAAAAATAAAACCATTGGAAAAAATTCAAGATTAACAGCAACACGTACATGTGCCTTTAGAAAAAATGTTTCATGTCCAATATGTTAAGGGCTGGTGCATTTTATTTCTATTAATTGTAATGCAATGAATCATAATGTTTGCATTTATAAATGTATTTACAAGTAGCCTTGAGGGACTCTTATAGTTAGGGACTCTTATAGTAGTCAGAACCTTACCAGTGACGTAGAGTTTCCCATTGTACGCCACCATGGCGGGACTGGTGACTGCCATCTTCATAGGCGCGACGAAGGCCCACGAGTTTGTCGCCGGGCTGTATCGTTCTACAGAGTCTAACCGTGACGAGCCCTCCCAACCACCAACAGCGTACACATACCCATCCAGCATCGCAAGTCCTGCAAATAACAGACAATAAATTGAAGATTTAAGACTTCTCGGAACTGTGTTGGGTTTCTGCGAATGTATTTGAACTGTACAGGGGATTGTGTGATGTAATTTAATTGTGAATTACACCAGTTTCTGAATTCCTCCTCATACTAGTAGTTGCACTTTGATATTTGACTTTTCTCAAAATTTATGTTACAAACTTTTACTGCAGGTAAAAAAAAATCCTGTAATTCCTTATAACTAAAGTTATAATGCATACTATATTCGCATTGTGAGTACACTTTAATTAACATGAGTGACAGCCTTTTAAATGTTGTGAACTACAGCCTAATACAGTTGGGTTTGGGACTTTGGGACTACTGTTAAAAGTGGATTCTTTAGAATACATATACTAAGTACAACCTTATCAAACCCATACACCACAAAGCAGATATGTGTAAGAACTAATGTAACAGTCAACTCACCTAGCTCTGACCTGGGTACATTCATCGGTGCCATCTCTGTCCAAACATCAAATATGGGGTCGTACTTCCACATGTCTTTACTGGCCGATCCATCAGGGAACTCACCTCCAGCCATGTACAGGGTGTTGTTACCTTTAAAACAACAGGATTCTCTATATACATATAGAATACAACACGGGGTATTCCGTATCACCCGAGGTACCAGCCCGACCGCGCGTCGGATCGCCCGACGGCCGAAGGCCGGAGGGAGATCCGATCCGCGGGAGGGCTGGGACCGAGGGTGATGCGGAATACACCGTGTTGTATTTTATTTATGTCATACCAACCCAAGAAAACACGCCTTTCAATGCGAAATGAGCGAAAATTTGGTGTCTCTAAACCCAACAAATGCAACAACATCAATTCCAACGTGCGAATTTTGTATTCGAATTTTCGAAAGCGTTGCACGCGGTTAGGGCGAAACGCGTTCGAATCGTTCAATGGAACATTTGGAAGGCCCGGGCCGTACGCGTTAAGAGCCCCCGGGCCGTACCGCTAGTTATCACATGGGCCGGAACACCCGTATCGAACGTAATCGCGGCCCAGGTAGGACATAAATGCACATATCATTTGTACAGAGTCTACAGATATCTTTTAGCCATCTTTTTTTAAAAATCCATTAAGAAAATCATGGTTAGGTAACAGCACAGATTTGTCAATTTGTGAAAAGCAACACAAAAAATTTCTATAAAAAACAGTTGGATGTAGGTCAGAAGTTACTTGTATACATGTATATACTATATAACAGTAACACCATTCAAGAAAAACAATGCAAAGTACCATCTTTACTAATATTCCAGTACAATGATAATACTAGTAGAATAGTACATGTGCATATAGAGAGTCTCAGAGAAAACATGGTCTTAATTCTAATAGAAGTATAAAATGTGATGTAGTAACAAAACAAAGTTCTGCTTTCAATTGACCAGAATAAATGAATTCAGCAATATTAAAAAAGCTGATAATCCCCACCTGAAACGACCAGTCCGTGCTTGCTGACTGCGAACGGTAGACATGCCAGGGTACGCCACTGTCCCATGGTGGGGTCATAACTCTCCACACTCCGCAGGACTACTTTATCATCCTCCCCTCCCACCGCGATGATGACTTCAACTGTGCCTGTGGGAATACAATGTTACTCTTTTTATGGTTCAAATGAAAGTTGAAACCACCTATATTTTTCCCTGAACATAACCCGTTATGAAATCTTGAGCCAAATTACCTTAGGCTATTACTAGTACTAACTTGCTACCTCTTTTAAAATGTTTCCTGATTTTGCTACCTACTAGTATATACGTACTATCTTCATTGTATCATCAGTAAATCTTTCCTTTTTACTGTATTTTCAAAACCATCATTAACAAAGTGGAATTTTAGTGTACCTTCTCTGCAAGTCTGTATTGGGATTCACTGTTTTATCTTGTAACATACGTAAACATAACAATTGTGACAACATGTCATTTATGCTATTGTTTTATTGAAAACAATGCTAAACAATGGACATTGCATCAGTACAAAGTAAAAACAAAGGAAATTATAGAAATGTATATGAAAAAAGCATCCTTCATTCTATCCTTAAACTCTTTGTTCAGTGGCCGTACCTGTAGATCTCCTGGGCCGTGTGCGTGGACTGAACATCTCCCCCCGACGGTCCTCCAGTAGCTGGTAGTTCTTAGCCTCCTCCAGCAGGCGTCTGCAGGGTGGGGACTGCTGGATCACACTGTGGCTGTCCACACAGTCTAACAGGTGGTACGGGCTTAACAAGGGCAGTCGCACCTGCTCCAGCACCTGCAGGAATTAACAACAAAGCTACAATTTTAACAACACATTACAATTACAGCACCTGGAGGGAGTTACAACATATTCAATGATGTTGATATGAGATGTAGCCAAAAATCAATTTTCTAACTATCTATAACAGTCTAACAAATGCACAATGCATTTCTAGCTGGATTTCAAACTCTGATATTTCATATCATCATTTGCATCTATCATTCTTGATACCATTTCCAGAGATGTGACAGATGTTATCTTTGAGTATCAGGGGCCTCTAACTTTGATATATTACCCACAATGTAGCATGTGCATTTCAAACCATGAAGCAGCTCACAACTGTATACAAACCTTGTGAAAGTCGTGTCTCCTGGACCCAGTGTCTGCGTTCAACCAGCGAACCACCGCGTCAAACACGTCCTCCTCCTTCTCCACATTCAACTTGTCGTCCGAGATGAACTCCACGACCTTCCCCTGGGAGAGTGCGAGAAACTCCTCCTGCTGACACACCTCCGGGAAGGCCGTCAGGACATAACTCTTCGCCTTCTCCTGAAGGTCCGAGCAGGCGTGCGCCTCCGCGAAGCAGTGGATCCCGAGACAGTTACTCTCGTCCATATGTTTCTCCATGAAGGCGCAGCAAGCATCCCTAACTGGTAGTACTTCTAGTAGATTCGCTGCAGCCAAGAGCGACTGTACGTTCATCTTCGTTATCACGATTTCTGACGTGTACGCGTAACCTAGCAGTAGTTCGATCATGGGAGCCTCCACGCCGTTGATCGTGACCTTTTCTTGGTGGCTTTCTGCAAGCTCGTTGGAAAACATGGCTTTAAAGTACGGGCTAAACGATGCGAGGACCGCGCGGTGGCAGGGAAACTCCACGCCGTCAACGCACAAGCTGACGTCGCAGAAGGACCCCGTTTGGCGTAGAGCGTTCAGACCTTGTAGGATCTGGATGGGGTGGTTGGCTTCTTTGAATATGTACTCGTCGGCCGCGTCGGTTTCGTTGGAGACTCCGCTGTCGTTGAGGTCGACACTGCTGAAGGACTGCTCGCTCTCAAACCGCGGTCGCAGTAGGGACGCCATGGTGCAGGTGAGAGGTCATCAGAAACACGGAATAACCGGTGTACACTCACTGTACAGTTCTGTGGGAAATATGCAGAACCATTTTATACTTTTGTGTTTACTTTTAGCCTGAAAAATCGCATATGATAATTGATTGGGCCCTTCCAAAAAATATAGGCCTAGGGGGTTGATTGCACAGGACTTAGAGACTAGGCATGCTAGGTGGGGGTGCTGGGTGGGGGTACCTGCATCTGAGGGGGTGAAATTCTTTGGACTGCTGGAGTTTGGGGGGGGGAGGGGTTGAAGCGTTGGGACTGAGGTGGTATCTAGGTTGGGGTGTCATCACCCCCTCATATTTTTTGGGACGGCCCAATGTACTGTATAGCTAAAATGTTGTTGCCTCTATATTTATTCTGCTCTCATTTATCGGATGTTAGTCACATGTGCTTATCTACTACTACCTCGTATGCATTCTCTCTTCCCAGTGTACTACTTTAGTTTTTGTCACAAAAATTATATGTATGACTCTGACTGAGCTGACTAGTACTTGGCTTGGCTTGTCAAAGCTGTCACCTAAACATAGCTGAACGTGCAGTAACTATTTAGTCCATACCGGTATAAACAGTATCAGAGTAATCATACACCATCCATCCACCTACCTAACGTGCTAAGAAGACTTCAAGTGGCGAATTTGTAGAGGAATCAGCGCTTGAAATGTTGTTTTCCACAAACTTTTCAGCACCGACGGCCATCTTGAAATATTCCCATAGTGCAGTGCGACTGAACGGAATGTTGACCTGGGTGCAGTTTTAATATTTTTCGCAGGGTGTCGCACTTGTATGGGTATGCATATACATGTACATATACATGTATTACTTACTATACAGAAAATAAGCATTACTATATACTATATTACTATATATACTATACTATATGATGACGATATATTACTTATATGCAAACTATATATTTTGTGAGATGACAATTAGGTATGGATGGATGGTTCCCAAATTTATGTTATTTCTTTGTTACTAGAAAAAAAAAAAAATAAGAACACTTAAAAAAAAAAAAAAAAAGAAAGAAAATAAGCATTGTAAGAGAGGACTGAGCTGAGAAAAAAACGACAAAAATGACTTTGCATAACTTTGTTCTTCTTCATCTTCTGTACCCAATTGCCAGGTTATTCATGTGGAGAATAATACCCATAAAGAAATCTTTCTGTGCCAACCATCCATCCATCCATCCATCCATCCATCCATCCATCCATCCATCCATCCATCCATCCATCCATGCATCCATCCATGCATCCATCCATCCATCCATCCATCCATCCATCCATCCATCCATCCATCCATCCATACATACATACATACATACATACATCCATACATACATACATACATCCATACATACATACATACATACATCTATCCTTCCTTACTTTTGCATTCTTCAATATATTCTGTACTAGTCTATCTCTCTTCTATTCCTCCACTCCTTTTCCTTTTAGAATTATCCCGTTACATGATATATGGCCTACCGGGCATCGACAGTATTATGCATAACTGATCATTCAAACAATAAAGGAAACAAGCAACCACTTTGCTTACCTGTCAATTTTATTAAGTATTTTATTTAAGTATTTTCCTATCTTGCCGTTTCCTAGATCCTGCCGTTACAATCGGGTCAACGTTACGAAAAAATATGCATATATTTATGTTGAAATTACTGTCAATCATAGTGTCAACATTAAATACTCTCATTCGAATTCCCACCAAACAACAAATCGTGCCGTTTGATCATTTGTCCTTATTTCTATAAGTATAATGTCGGCCAGAGGGATAGGCATAAATTTCTTTACTTGAAACGAAAAAAGTATTTCAGCTATTTCATGGGCATCCGTTTCATCAAATATATCTCAGCTCAAGAACCGAAACTGTGTTTGCGACGCAACACAGGCCTGCCCATCTTGTCCGTTTTAGGGTTCAGCTCTACGTGGATGACGTCACGATAAAAAGCGCCCTCTGTCTCCCACGGGTAGCAGTACAGCAGGTCCTGCCTCCATTCCCGGTCTAACTCTTCCCGCGCTTTCTCGTTCACTTCTGATAACCCGCACTGTGTCGCAATCACTTCGGCGTCGTCCCAGTCATGGGCGTAACCTTCCTTCTTCGCACTTCTCTCTACCACCGTTCCAGTCAGCTTTACTGTCGGTGACTGCACGGACCAAATCGGCGCCAGACCCTCTTTCCCCTCTCCGACCCTGGTCCACCTTTCTTTGGCAGTTGATTTTACCGCCTTATCTGCAGAGGTCTCCTGTTTGGCATCGTCCTTTCTTTTCACAGGGTTGCCGGACTCTGTTTTCTTGCAGTTGGCTTCGTTCTGTACCGTTTTTACGGGTTGCATCGCTATAGGCACGTTCCGTACTTTATCGTTATTTTGGCGGCTTTTATTATTGTTGTTGACGTCTGCAGTGTGCGGTTTTGTAGCCTTCTTGAAGTTCACGTTCGTCAGACTTGGGAATTTTTCTTCTTCCAGGTGTTGTATCCAGGACTTTGTGTAGTCTTCACGTTTTGTGTTGGTCTCCTCCACGTCGTTGTGACCGTGCGAAGTCGTGCTGCATGCAGGGAACACGGGTCTGCAGGTGGGGGGCGCTACTGAGCGGAAACCGTTGATTCCTGGACTGCCTGCTGGGGACGAGCCAAGTTTTGACGTCCTACCCCTGCATTTGGTAAAAATAAATGAAATGAAAACAAGCATAAGTAAATTGAACAAAATCTACATTCTGCTTGTAGTAGAGCACTTGATTTACTGTATTTATTTCTCCTTTATTCATCTGCTACGATTGTGTTTTACTTTTCTGAAAATCACTCAGTTATGATATGCTAGTTCTGTTATGCAAAAACAGTTGGTGACGGTACATTAGAAAAACAACTGAATCTCTCTCTCTGTCAGTGAGTCAGTCTCAATTCTTAAGTGCGCAACAAAAGATCACAATGGGCCTTGAAACACGAACATTTTCAAGTCGAAATTATGAGGCCCGGAAAGGACTATCGCACCACTGTAGACAGTTCGAAATTAAACAAATGGTTTCTTACCATCCAGAGAAGAACGAGTCGAGCCAGTCGTGGCTGTACTCTTCCCGCCAAATGTTCCGGTCCTCCACCCAGCTTCGCAGGGGGTCCTCCATGTAAAACGGGCGACTTACCATCGTGGAAAGCATTTTCACTGTCACGGTGGGTGGCAGTTTTTGATCCTGATTGAGAATAATATCGACACATTATAATCTGTTCAAGACAGATTAATTAAAGTAACAAATAATCGGAGCTGAAAGCAAAGCAATGTTAACTCGTTTTTTTTGGCCTAGAAGAACGATTTTGTTGAAGCAAAACACCTTCTAAAAGTAATACCCTTCACTTTAATAAGCAAGCGCATAGAAAGCGGTAATGAATAAAATGATGAGGTACTGAAATACTAATTGCTTACCTTTATCGATGCTTGAAAACTCCAATACCTTCTATCAGAAAATTTCTCTTTTCCCCAAGTGTTAGCGCAGCTAGTTTCGGTTGCCAAGCCGCTGCCTTCTCCTTAACACAGTGCGCACTTGGCCTCTTATATATCATTTCCACATCCTGTTGACGTCCCACACAGCGTTAAATACAGCTTATATGACTGATGACTTATCGAAGGCTAGGGCGCGCGTCATTTGGGGAAATTGGGACATATCCAGGAAAGGAGCAGGAGCAGACCGCGATTTTCATACCACAGATTCTTCACGCATGAACATCATGCAAGGGACGTGCCAGTAGAGCAACTAGTGGCAATAATTAGATTGAATTTGAAGAAAAATATTAAATGTTAATGCTTAATCCTTTAATAGACTGTTGACGTGGCTGTAATGTTGACAGCCTAACCTTGTGCTAAATGAGTTATCACGGTGACAATTATTTATGACTATTGTCAATGTTATGGCCCTGAAAAATCTAAGTAGCGTGCATAGTCCAGTGGTTAGTGACCCTGACATAGACTATAAACAGTTGGGATTTCAAATCTCGGCTGTTGTCCCTAACACAATATGCACGCTACTAGAAAAGGTCTAAGTCCTTAGGACGGTACACTTTTAAATATAATTCTATTGCCAGAAAGAACCAGTAGAATTTCCCTGGTACAATAATGAACATGTAATGACCGTATACATATGTCTGTTTTCTCTGTCACGACCAGTGGAAGAGTAACACCTCGTATCTACTAGTGTAAGAACGTGATACGGAGAAAATATTTTGAGCATAAGATTAATTCGGGTGTTTCATGTGACCCCGAATACAAGCAATTTTAAAACGATCGTAAATTTACACCAGCTCACTCAAAATAATTTGAATCTAAAAAGAAAATAACATCAAATAACGGAAGAAAACGAAATCTCGCAATAGTTAATACTAACACACGAAATGGTTTCTCCCCCACCGCAAATGATACAATCTTTTATCACTTGTATTAAAATGCAGGGAGTGTTAGTAAGGCGGGTCCCGGTCCATACGTAGAAAGCTTAACGTCAGCATCGTGCATTCTGGAAACTTCCGGATCGAAGCGGTTTTGCTATTTTTAAACCCAATGCTTGAAATCATCTCTATTTATGGAAAGGCTTTTCGAGGGCGTTGGTCTTACGAGAGTTCGTGGCGCCATCTAATCTTGAAAATATGGAAAACAAAATTTGAAATAGATACTGTGACAGGAGTGCAAATGTATTAGGTGTGTATAATTCTTGGGAAACCATTTCTTTTTATGGTAATGTTAGTCATTTTACTTTGTAGAATGTCGCATGGGTATTGCTGTTGCTGTTGTTATGTCTGTTGGAAGGATGTTTGACCGCAAGTAACCTTGATCGGTGCGCATGCGTCACCATTTGGCGCGTCCTTCATTTCGAGAAACAAGGTCAAAGTCATTGTTTTCCAGAAAACCACACGTGACAGGCATGGATTTTTGTTGTCTTTTAATCTTGGAATTGCCAATGGGACAGAAAACAAGTTGGTAATTCCTCCTTTTTGACGAGGCCCTCATAGATTTGCGACCTTTCCAATCAATTCGATGAAATATATAATAAGATTTAAAGATCAGTTACAGGCGCAGAATGGTAAGAACGGATTTAACAGATTTAGAAATAAACATTTTTGTCCCCCTTAAGGAAAAGTGGACAGTTTTAAGTACCACCCTCCAAGAAACCGTGCCCCTCCTCTGATAAAATATGCCATGCATTAAGTGTTCTTTGCAACGCTTAATGCATGCGTGTATAGACTGGTCCAACTTCTTATGCACTTTGCATTCTGGGTACTTACCTGTCCGAACTTTGACCTATGATTGTTTACATCCTATTCTTATCTTAAAATTTGGGAAGAGACTTGCACAATGTGGATTAACGACAGAGCCAATATATGTTTGCATTCAATTTTACAAATCATACGGCCATTTTGACAGAACTTCAATGGTTATCGATGCCGATTCATTTTATTAACAGCAGTTGTAGCGCCTTTCGTGTTAGCCGCCATGATTGTTGTCATTTCCAAATATAGAAGTTTGACCTTTCAGGTCTCTGCACAATACAGCATTAGACGACGGCGTCGGAACCATTAAATTCAACTCGTACTAACTGGACTCATATGTCGATAGCTTTTCTAAAAGCAGTCTTTTAAAGTTACATCAACTATCAGTCCATTCTTACGCTACGGGACTGAAAAAGTGGTCGTGTAGGAAACGACGTGTGAGTGACCTTGAGAGACGTTACAAGCTCGGCGTTCATCGTCTGCAAAGGGCATAAGTTGCAAAGGTCATGATATCTAAGCAGATCTTTGGGTGGCTGCAAGACAGTATCAGATTGGCAAGACAGTATCATTGGCAGGACCCAATATCCGATTAAGTTACCAGTGCAAAAAGGAAATCCCAATAAATTCAGCTGAAACAAGTCGGAAAATTATGGTACTAAGATCAGAGCCCACTGATCTGGACGCCGAAAGAACAGGAACGACAACAAAGTTAACTTATGATTCCTTCCACATAATATCATAACAATAACCTGGGTGATCATGCAACTTTAATTTTTATATACTAAAATAAAAATGTAATGTTGAACGGAAATATGTCTTTGATTCATATCGATCGCATTACAAGTATTCTTCTTGAAAGTACGTTCTGACATCCTGGCATTTCTTCTAGTCTTTTTCCGTATTTTCCACCTAGAGATGGTTTTACTGGAATTGAACTGTTGAACTTTTGAAGTACTTGTGAGTTAACGTTATTGACCGACAGTAACCGGGCAAAACTTTGAATATCGGGCATCAGTTCCCTTCCCTCGTCATGGCGTCTCTTTTCAATTGGTTTAACGAAGTGTGCAATGTTGACCGGTCAGACGAACTTATTTTTACCATCGTTACTCACATTGAAACACGCCCGGTCTTGAAGTGTAATTGGATATACGTGACGTTGTACAGAATGATGATACATGTACTAGTTTGCGTTTAAAATACTTCAAGATACTCATTCAAATGATAGCCAATTTTTTGCCCACTAAATGTGTTGAAATAAATCAGACATCAAGAACTACGTATATGGAAACCATAGCATTGTAGCTCTTGATGTGTAGATTTAAATACAGCAATTTACACTCTTGTTGGAAGTACGTTCAGGCATGCAGACTTGTCTTAGTGCATGTCCTCTGCCGTTTTGCTAGCCTGCTGGTGTCTAGTCTATGCATGGTTGGGGCAGGCTGTCTTCGGAGCTCTGATATTTTTTCCTCGTCCAGCTCAACGGACCGCCCGGCATAGGAGTGTTTTACGTGTGTAGGAGTTTTGCACGCTAAGAATTGAACTCCTCTCGTGCAAAACCTACCGGGGAACCTAGCTGAACCGGGCAGGGAAGAGCTCCTGCAGCCCCGAAGAGGACCGGCACCGAACACGATAGACTGGTCACTAGGCTACCGGTTTATAGACCTAGAGATGATTTTATTTGGTGGAACTTTTTAAACGTTTGTCAGCCATTGACCGATGATAACCGGGCAAAACGTTGCATATATTAACCTATAGCGTAATTAGAAAAAAGGTGTGGAAAGTTCCTCGCCCTAGGTATGACTTCATTTTTCAATGAGTCTAACGAACTGTGTAATTTCGACCTATCAGTCGAAATTATTCGTTGTTAATATTCACAAAGATATACACCCTGTCTGGCGTTATACCTTCGGGCCTTGAGCGCCGAAAATGGTATAGTGACGCCAGCGTCTGATGACATGTTGTTTGAATGGTTTTGCCCATAGCGGGGGACATACAAAGAGAATTTGCTTAACAAAATAAAAGAATTGGCACATCGTGAATTACACGTTGGTCATAAATATTTTATTTACTCTGAATTACTAAGAAACAGATTTAAGTCAGGTCAAATTCAAGATTCTTGCTCGTTACAGTGAGTTCTTAAAAAACCGTACGGTTGTTTTTTGGTACTGTCCAACATAGGTTACTACAGGTCGTTCAGAAAAAGCATTCAATTGTCTTCGCTCATCCCATGCAACCAAATACGTCACCGCAGTTACCATGGAGATATACTATATTTAGATCTCGACGATATATATGCCTTCACCAAAAGTTTAAAACCTCAGTGTGCCCTGTACAGTATACATTCGCAAAGTTAACATTCATTACTTGACATCAGTACTGCAAGCTTGGTGACATTTGATCGTCTCGGCCTGGCGGCATAGCACACTTGTACCGTGAGAGAGCTTCGGCCTGCACGGCCACGCTGGTTACCCTGCTCCAGCATGAGGTACGTAACTGTTAGTAGTGCGCCGCATATCCTATAACAAGTCAATAGAATGTATTTTGCAGTATAGAAATGCTCCAAAAATTATGAAACGAAAAAAGCGGTTGGAGGAAATACGAAACCAACTGAGGCATAAATAATTAAGTCAGTGCAGAACTGTTCATAAAGAGAAACGCTAATGTGTTGAATTTGCATCGAGAAGTGTCAAATATGCATAAAATAGGTACTAGCTATAGGTAGGACCTTAAAGATAACTTCACATAGAAAGAATTAAGTCAAACTAGCGTGGATCACTGGATGGCAGTTGGAACGTAACCAACTGAATGATCAAGGTAACTGTTTAAAGTTAAAGAAGAGCGTGAGAATTCTTTGCACGCTACAGTAAGTAAAAAATTGGATTTAAATTTCAAGTGACCGGACTGTGTAAATAAAGTTTAGAATCCTAAAGTATTTTACCAGGAAGGCACTGTTTTATTACCAGTTTTAAGTTTTGGTGCGTATTATGATTCGAAAATGAAACTATGTTTACCGCCAGTAGGTTGACTACAGTCGCCATTTTGAACATAAAAGTTAACAACCGTTTGAATCCAAAGTGTTTCGGTGCCATTGTTGGCATTGTGATAACTAGGAAATACTAGTGATGTCCAGGCAGCTCTCAGCATTTTTCGATCAAAAGTTGTATACTGAAATTCAGGAACAGGAAACTAAAAAAAAACCCACAAAGACAACAACCCTCATATATATGGATCCATGGTGGTAAACTATCAACTCAGAGAGTTTATATTAAACTCAGAACTCTGTCCTCTTGGTCACACTTATACCGTATCGTTTGATTTATACATATATATATATAATTATGTAATGGTATCTTGAACGTGTAACTTTTTTCTAATTTCAGTCTTTTTTCTAACTTATGTAAAGATTTGTCAATAAACAAAGTGCTCCGTATAACATGTAAGGTAAGATGTCATTTATTATGTTAGGTTGTAATTTTAGTGTATGTTACGGATATATATGAAGTTAACGGATGTATCGCAATAAAATTTTCGTCAGTGAGGTGTTTGTATTTTACCGAAGAGGAACCCTAACAAACATCAACATGATGCACTCTCTCATGACACACAGAAAGAAGGTTGCTAATAACCGACTATTTATTGTATTCTAATGTTTACACTCGCTCATCCGCGTACATATTTCTTATACGAAAGACGAGAGTAAATTATGTGGCATGTGGTATAAGTAAGCAAGTATATTATTCATCATTCACACTAACAATCGGTTTCAATTTCTCCTTATTTCAGGTCGCACGTCTGGATTGTAGTCATCCTTATCCTGGTACATTTGTCGAGCATAGAAGGAAAAGGGAAATGCCCCAAGAGATATAAAAAACGTAAGTTTATTTTAGTTATGTAAAATTTCTTAGTACAGGGCTCAAAATATCACCTTTATATTAATCAAGC